AAACCGGGTTACTGGCTAGTTACCGGCCAAATATCATATTTGGTTAATTTTTAAAACTTCATGGACTTAATTGACTCATTTTGAAGTACAATGACTCAATTGATTTTTTCATAAAAGTACGAGGACTTATTTGACAATTTTCCCTATTTCCTATCTATAAATTTTCTTTTTTTATACTTTTTTATTTTGAAAAAGATTTATTTTTGTAATTTACATGATCTAAATTTAACAACGAGAGTGCAGAGCATGCGGTGTAGAGAGGGAGCAGATCGACTTGCCGTTCTAAGAGTATCACTTAGCTTGGTTGCATGTATATGGTCTATTTTTGAAAAGAGAAGTTTAAGTAGTCTACTTTTGAAAAAATAAACGAGTAGTGACAAAAGTGATATAACTTTCACTTTTTTAATCTATTCCTGAAAAAACCCCAATTTTTTTGAACACCCAACTTTCGATGACATGATCCACCATTGGTGATCACAACGATTAACCCCACTTAATGCATCCTAATAGTTGTTGTAGAGAGCGAGGACTTAACATTAACAACATAATTTTACTATATTATCTACTCCCTCTATCCCACAGAAAAGTTCTCATTTCCCTTTTCTGGACGTCCCAACTCCCATATAAAGATTATAATTTCCTATTTAAGAAACAATTAACAATCTTAAATGACAAACTAATCATTAAATATTAAAAACAATAAATTTATAATATCACAGTTATCAACACTAACTCAATTATATTATATACCTATTAAATTTATTTCTCATAATATACTTGAACTATCTTATTTAATTACTAGTAGTTCACCCGTGCGATGCACGGCAGAAAAGTTCCATGTAATCTACTTAAAGGAGAAAACAATTAGTATCAAAAAAACCTTTTTCAGTTGATTGTGAGAGAAAACTTTCTTATTTAACAACAATCTTAAATGAGAGAGACACTGATCATGCCTTTTGTTAATAGTCATTGCATAAACGATCATTATTGGAAATTATCTTATGCTATGCAATTTGAAAGGAAATCTAACATGCATCTCAAGGCATTAGTGAGGCTTCTAGTATCTTACCCGTGCGATGCACAGTCAAATTTTTCAAGGTTAATTTATTAAAATATACCCTCTGTCTCATAGAAAGGTTATCACTTTCCTTTTTTGGGTGTCCCATATAAAGGTTCTCATTTACATTTTATGGAACAATTAACGATCTTAAGTGAAAAATTAATCATTATATATTAAAAACAACACATTTATAACATCACAGTTATCAACACTAACTTCATTATATTATATACCTATAAAAATTATTTCTCAAAATATACTCGGATTACCTTATTTAATTATTGTCTAAATAATTGTGTCATTTTGCCATGGATCTTATCAACAGTACCAATGTAGGAAATAACAATAAAAAGCAATAAGAAAATCTTTTGCAGATATACCACTTCAATTGCTGAATATGTATTATAAATATCCATAGGAACGATACACTATGAGCACTATAAATACAAAAATGAAATATGTTGTAATAATCTAAGAATAATCACAATTACTCTAGAATTAGATTTTGGCCACAATTTTAAAAATGATCTATACTTCTAATTTTAAGATTTTATATTTTTTAAATTATTTTATACGGAGTACTATTTTATATTCACAAATGCATCCATATATCCCTATCAGTGCTATTTAAGATATTAGTGTTATATTTTCTTCATTTACCAAGCTAAGTTTATAGAATTGACTAATGAGCTATATTTTCTTTTCAATTTAACACAAAAAATATGGCTTAGTGTTATAATTTCTTCAAATACCAAGGTAAGTTTATGATTAAAAAGTGTTCTTATTCAAAGTATTTTCATTAGATTATAAAATTTATAAATTATATGCAAATATAATAATTAAAATTATTGTTCAAATTTTGTCATCATTCACTAAGAAAAGTCAAGATGACAAACTTTTTAAAGACATGAATAGTAAGTAAAAGCAAAATATTATTTTTCAATTAAAGGAGAACTACTAAGTAGTACTCCATGGTTTTTAGAATCAAATTATAAGGAATATAACATAAACTCTACAAATTTTGGAAAACTTATTTGTAAACAATATTGACTGTTTGTGTAGTATTATAATCATTATCATCTACTAACAAAAGTTAAGACCTTTTCAATTAGTAACTCTTGAAAACCGCATCATGGAATTGACAATGAAAGAAAACTAGCTTTTAACAACAATCTATATGAGAGGAGAGACTGCCTTTAACTTTTAATAATTGTCAAATTGTCTCTCGTGGAATTTGAAAGGAGCTCTTAAGAGAGTGCATTCACTCATGCTCCTGACAATGGTAACTTTAGTTTCTAGAATATGGTCACCAAACTTATCGATAGGGAAAATAGAATTAATAATGCCAATTAGCTTGCATAAATCAATGATAATATGAAACTATTTTTATTAATATGATCTATTAAAATATATAACAAAGATAATATGGACGTCATTTTTAAATACAAATAGAGTCAATTATCAGACAAAATTGACATTGAAGTTATCTCGAAATGGAATGACACTCGTTATTTACTAAAATAAAAAATATTATTAAAAGTTATTTTTAAAGTATATGTTAATACCAATTTATAGGTTATTATTTTTATTATGGTGTTTATAGGTCATTGTTATTACTTCCTATTATTTAAAGTTATTTTCTTAATAAGTAAGCAAGTCTATTCCAAAATACCCAATTGAATTATTGAACATGCATAATAAAACAGACATACGGAGTAATACGTAATACTCCCTCCGTTCCAGAAAATTCTTCTCACTTTGACTTGACACGGAGATTCAGAAAGTGGAATAAAGTGGAAATGTGTGGTTGTAGTTGTGTAAGAAAAAAGTGAAATGAATGTGAACCACACAAATTGTTCAAAAACGGTAAGTGAGAAGAATTTTTTGGAACAGGCCAAAAAGGAAAGTGGGAAGAATTTTGTGGGATGGAGGGAGTAATAAATATTATTCAATAATAAATTGTTGAATACCCAGTTGTATAGTTCACAGGCCAAATTGTTCAAAAGATAAATTCACAGGCCAATAATAAATAAAAAGACAAAGAGGCCCATGAGCGAAAAGTCTCTCCAGACGGTTCCTCTCCAGTCCCCTCCTTTCTAGCATTCTTTCTCTGTACGACCTAAAAGCTCTCACCACCGGACCAAACACAACCGTAAGTATACCGGCCACTGGTCCATCATCTCACCACCCGTGTGCATCACCTTGTCCGAATCAGTATTTCCCACCGATCTATATCCCAAAATCAGTATTTCGTGTCCCGATAAAAACTATGCTCACCGACGAAGTCTATGACCAGCGTCAGTACGTCATCACAAGGTTAGTCAGAACGTCAATTGTGATACCTGTGAGATTGACGAATACTTCATATCCTTATTTTTAAGTAAAGAATAAATGGTGAATTCTTATTTTCAGTATTTATCTATTTAAAATCTGTGAATAATTAGTTGACAGATCCACCTTGAAGAACAGACGAAGACCATGACCTTGACGATATGTAAAGATAAGTAAATTTAACTTAATCCCAACTCAGAAATAATTTTTTTTTGTATAGATCAGACATAACAATGAAATTTTTCTTTAAAAAGTTTAAAATTACACAAAACAACAAATTTTGGACAAAAATACATGTCATCAAACATATATTCAGCAATTAATCTATTTTACGTAGTACGGGGTACATTTTAATATAAAGTTATTTCAGAACTATGGCTTAAAATCGTTGTTTACGTAAAACATAAAGATCATAAAAATGTCTTTTATACTTCACTTAATATTGATTTTTTTTTTTGTAATTTAAGAAACTTGAGATACGTACAAAGGGGTGCAATTACTAATCTGAAGCGCAAGGAACTATGATGTTTAATCTGGGAAGCACTCCATTTGAACTAAATTTATAAGCCATACAGGTAGCTTAACACAAAAAATAGTTTTATAAAATTTGTTTAAAAAGTGGCATGCTATCAACTCTTTTTGTACATACACATTGTTTGAAAATATAAACATACTACGTATTACATATGCTTATCAACAACATAAAGCCAAAAGAAATTGTTAAACTTCTTTCTTGGTAACCTCGATCTAATGACATATGAGAAAGTATTGATCAAAATCATTTTCGTTGCATCTCATTTTTACTCCATTAGCCAGTGTAGTTCACAACTTCACTTTCGGAAAAAAATTCCATTCATCTTAATATGAACTGTTTTTTCTACTTCTTAAGTAGATTAGGAGTGTAAATTGTATAGTTAAGAATTGCAAAGAAGAAGGATATGAATCACAAATTCTTCATCGATGAAGTTTATTATTGGACAAAATGGAAAAGTGAAAGATGCATTTGAGATGGAAGTAATACACTTCCTATCCCATACAATTCTTCTCATTTAACATTTTAGGATGTCCCAACAAATTCTTTTCATTTTCTTTTTGAAAAGTTTCGTGGTGCTAATATTCATTTACGGAGTACCTTTTTTCTTATGCAACTACAAAACGGAAAGAATAAAAAGCACAATTATTATCCTGTACTTGGTTTTTCTGCGCTACTGAAATGTGCAAAAGCGAGCCTACGGAACAAGCAAACATGACGGAAGGAGCATTTGATTGGATCTTGAAGAGGTGAGGGAGGCGGTGGCACATCCAGAACTAAAAACAATGGGGGGATATTCATTCACATTCTAGACTAGAGTAGTGGTTTTTTTCACATATCCGACCGGCCGGCCGGCCGACCATTACACGTATTACCCTCTTCTTTCTGCAATTGTATGAATAATTCAAACAAATGCAAAAATGTACATTTTAGACTTGCAGAAAGCAAGTTGTAGATGCTTGCTTCTTCTTCACCACAAACTCCTTGCAGAAAGCAACCATATTTCCAGATTGAATTTATTCTCCAGCAAGCCTAGCATCCTTCCATGAGCTTGAATTGGAGGATTTCAGTAGCAGGCTAAGTGATGCAGAGCAAGTTGCTCTCACAATCGCATCTCCCGAATGTCTCATTTTCCCCACCATTACTTCAAACACCTGAAATACGTTACCATATTGGCAACCCATCGTTAAAAGGGCTGGCCGGACTAAACATTAACATCCATTCATATAAATTTTAATATTAGGATATTTTTACTTGGACTGTAATTTACTGGTCTGGTCTGAACTGGTCTGGTTTCTTTGTATTTTTATAACTATCCAAGTCTGATCTGGTCTGGGAGGAATTACAGTCCAAGTAAAATCATCCTTAGGGTAAGTGTTTGCACGTTAAATTGATTGCAAGCAAAGTTTAGGAGGGAAAAGTAAAATATTAAGTAAAATTACACTGTTCGGGCAGGTGTGTTTTATTTTTAAATTACACGCAAAGCTAGCTATTAACGGTACTTTATAAAAAGAAGGGAAAATCACATTTTTAGTCTCTGAAATAATCACCATATTGAAATGTCAGACCCGTATTTCGGAAATTGTAAATTGTACATTTCACCTCTCAAAGGACTAGATTTATAACAATTTCGATAATTGAGGGGTGACATTTACAAACTCGGGAAGAATACTGAATTAAGCGATTTACAACAATTTCAATAATTGAGGGGTGACATGTTTAGAGCTGACATTTCAATATAGTGACTATTTGAGGGACTAAAAGTGCGATTTTCACTAAAAAGAATATAAAAATGTGATGTTTTGCATGGTTATGTGCGAATTATTTTACAAACGTATCCTACCATCTACATTAAGCAATTAAACTAAACAATGTTTTTTTTTTTTTGCATTCATAGTAATTATTTAAAATCCTACCAAGCTTCCACTTAAAGTTTACAAAAAAAATCAACTGTATAGAAACAAACAGTTTTCAATTTCCAAAAACCATTTTTTACCATTTGTTCAACTTATTTCTTACATTATTTTGCCTACTAGGTACAGAATATATGTACCGTGAATTAAGTAGACTGGATTTAGAGTGCATCGGGATTGGCTTCTATAGCATACACGTTATTAAACTAATCCTCCCTCCCAAGGCCGGCCTCGTATGCCTGAACTCCTAGGAAGGGAGAATTAAAATGGGCCTAATATTAAAAAAATTGTAGAACCCTTTTCTATCTAAACAAATATACATAATAATAGTATTTCAAGACATTTATAAAAAAATTGTAAAACCCTCTTCTGTTTAAACCAATAATATTATAGTATTGGTGATCCTTATTTAGAAAGGAAACTGGTAGTCTTATTTGTACACTTTACTAATGTTTAAATCATATTTAAGGAATTAATTTTATTATTATCAACTCTTAAATTTTCCCCTCCAATGATGTAATCATTATGAATCATTTCATTTTCAGTAGCTAAATCATTGTTCTATACATTCTCATTTTGAGTAGGACATTCATAATTTGACTTTTTTACACAAACAAACCTTTTCATTGAACTGTTTTTATCTAGTAGAACATTCATTTCATTTTCAGTAGCTAATATTCTTTTTTCTTTATCATATTCAGATTCAATCCTATAAATTAATTAGATTTATAAACTTTATCATAATTGAATTTTTTTTTCTAACAAAATCAACAAATTATTACATCAACACTCAATAGAAAGCAATAAACAATTAAGAAATCAAACAGTCAACTTTGAATGGAAGCAACTAATAAACTAATCAAACCATATCAGACTAATATGCTTCCAAGTGGATTTTTTAATGAAATTTTATGAGAATGTTTCCCATCAAGTGTAGATTATGTTCACAAAATTTCAACTTAAAAATTCAACTGTGAATAAATTATTGAAAAACACTACGCTAAAATATGCATAAACGCACAATGTTTTTCAATAGTTTATTTAATTGACTTCTAAATGGAATTTTAAATTGAAATTTTAAAAATCATCATCATTACCCCAGTGCCGCAAAGGCTCCCACCTTTGGTGGGGTAAGGGGGTCAGATGTACGCAGTCTTACTCTTGTACTAAAGCACAAGGAGACTGTTTCCGGATGATCCATAGTGAAAATCGCGTAAAAAATTGCATGGACTTACTACTGCTTCATAACAAAGAAGTGCAAATAGTTTAGTGAGTCATTTTGCTTTATTACATCATATTCCCAAACCAAAAAATAGAGACATAGTCACACATATAACACAAACCTGGCTATAATAAAGGGCCCAAATGTGTTTATCATCTGAAAGTGCAAGCATGCTGCTACACAAATAAACAGCATTGGCTTGAATAACTGGCCATGGAGAATCAAATGCCTGCATGTAAAACATTTTCAATGAAATAGAATGATATTACTCATCATTTTCTTATTAGTTATTATGCACTCTAATGTGTTTACATTACATATTGCCATATTGGTCTTCCTTCACCTAATGACCCCTCTTGTTTAAGGTAACTAAAGATAGAAATATATAATGATTCTAGAACGGGCTAGACCGAGCCACGCCGGCCCCAAACTATGGGTATTGGTTAGGTCAGAGTGGACTCGATATAAAAATAATAATGGTCCCATCTGGGCTTTTTTTAAATAAAATTGCAGCCCTAGCCCGTCTATATAGATTTGCTTAAGGGTTTGGGCCAGGTTGGCCCACATGTCACTAAAAGGGCTCGGCCTAGATGGGTTTACAAGGAAAAATCTATTAAAAAAATTATGTATAAGGATACAATGTAATCAACTAAGTAGGTGAACAAGAATCCATTACTCCAGTAAATGTATTAATAAAATAAAAAGTTCAAACTTATCTACAGCTTATAATTTTTTGCAGGTACACTCTTGAAATTGAGATGCACGCATACCACACTTATTCTTCTAATATCAAATTATCAAGTTTTATCATAACCGTTTATCACCTGAAAATCATCAAGAACTTTATTCACTTCCACATCAACATTAGTTATCCAATTTGGTCTTGATGTAATTATACATAAGATATTCCCTTTGTTGATCCAATGTTGATTTTTCTATATTGCATTCTAAAGTTTACAAGTGTCCAACCATTGAATAAAATTAAAGTTTTAATTGTGCTAGGATTTAACCAAGATCTTGTCTCAAAAACTATATGATGCTACTATTAATTTACACAGTCGTATTACTTATCATGTATTTAATGTAGATTTAAGGGGAAATCACAATTTTAGTCCCTGAAATAGTCACCATATTGAAATGTCAGACCCGCGTTCCCAATTTTGTATATGTCACCCTTCAATTGTTCAAAATGCTGTAAATGTGGTCCTTTAAGAGGTGAAATGTACAATGTGGGCGAAGAGTACATTTCACCCCTCAAAGGACCACATTTACAACAATTTGGACAATTGAGGGGTGACATTTATAATATCAGAAATACGGGTCTGACATTTCAATATGGTGACTATTTCAGGGACTAAAAGTGCGATTTTCCCTAGATTTATTTAATAAGTAGTGTATACATGGGTTTCTGAACTAGGCTTAGTTGGGGTTGACGGTTTGGGTAAGGATGAGTCATAACGGGCTTGGCCGGGCTCAGATTCAAATACTTTACCCCATGCCCATCTCTTCAAACAGTGTGCTTGCTCAGCCCGTGACTCATATGGGCTGGGCTGGTCTTTTTAGCAAATGGGATGGGCAGGCTACAAGGGGCTCATGGGCCCACGGGCTAAATGATGATCCCTATCTAGCTTTAAAAAGCATAGATGACTCCAAAACAAAATGAAGCTAAGCTACCAATATTTTTGCAAAATGAAATTCTAACCAAACAAACCACAAAGGTGACTACTATTTCAATGCCACTCTTTATACTCTAGCATTTATTGCTACAGAGTACTAGTTTTCTGATTAACAGGAATGTAACATAAAAAAATAGTTCCTCAGGAGATTACTAAGTGATAAAAAAGGATTACTTTTTCCCATCTCCTCCCTCAGGTCAAATCCTTTCGAAGGAATTTGAATCGGCATTTCCAATGTCAAAAGTAGATGTTGGTAGTTCAGTAATTCATCCTCCATAGTCTAAAAGAAAACTACTGAGAAAATATTCTAAACATTAATTTTCTTTACCAGCGGAAGTAGGTGATGAGTGCTAAACTAAGGTAACCCTTAAAGTCAGCAGCTTCTACTACACTCAGTCCCAAAAAATGTTATGTTTGGTCAATGTACAACTTTAAAATTTTGGTAAGGTACAACAGACATCAGGCAAATCTTTGAGACAACTCTTTTTGTTAATGTTTTTAAAACTGAATTTATCATATGTAACTTGTGACATTTTCTTTAGTTACACTAAAAAATTAGAGCTTCGTTTGATCAAATGTGACTTCTTTGGGATGACAACATGCTCGAAAAATGACTCTATTTTAGGACAAAAGAAGTACTTTTCTTAATATTCATACAATTTATACAAGATTGAGAGTTTGAGACAGACCTGTATTATTGCTGACAGGTAAGCATTAACTCGAGGGCCAAGATAGTGAGTTAACTGCCTTGCAAGATCTCGCAAGAAGTCTTCATAATCACTCCTGAAAAAGTAAATGTGGTGTAAGACCTAATCCCATTAAATGTCAAAGGAGTACAAATAAATAATCCAATAATAACATACCTATGGTCCGAACTGAACCGAAGTGCATTGAGAAGCACAGGGATTGAATCAATCTCAATCAATGGGGCAATACATTTTAAAGTTGTCTACCAAAACAAGTTTTAATTGGCTTCAGTATTCCCACTTCCAAGTAACATTATAAAAGAAAGTTTGTCAAAAATGTATTTTACCCGGCAAGCTTGTCGAACACCAATATCATCATCATGAAGATGTAGAACCATACGGGGGAATGCAGCATGAATCTGATTGTAGAGGAAACTATTAAGCTTCGAGAGTAAATATGTGAAGTGGTAACACAACAGAAGAGGATAAAGCACAAAAGGTTAATATCAAGTCCTCTTAATTCTACAATTTATACAACTAAAATTGTAGATGTTTTTCCAATAACTTGCCATGATGCTAAATATGATACATCTACTTAAACCAACAAATGATTTTCATAAATATAGATATTATTTCTGCACTTTTAACTATTGTATCTTACGAAATTAAGTTGTGCCTTCACCAAACAAGACTCTTTTTGGGACAGAGGGAGTATACAAGAAATATACTAGATGCATTTAGTAAAACCTCAGATCATACCACATGTGTGTAAACAGTATCCAATAGTTAAAAACTTCAAATCATACTGAAATGAACCTGTTCGCGAAATGAATCAAGTATTGTGCCTGCCCCACAGGTGCTTAGTGCACCAAAAGCTGCAAATGCATTTGCTCGAATCTTTGCATTCAAGCAAACCTGTTACCCAAAAAAAGCAACTAGAGTTATGACCATGTTGTTTTTCATAAACTATTGATACACTGACAATGGGACGTGATAATAGCAATCATCTCAACCAACATTAACTAATACTTCCTACATCCCAATTTGACAGTCCCATATATCCATTCTGAGATGTCCCCCAAATGGATAGTCCCAATTTCCTTATTTTGGCAAAATTTAGCAGGTACAATTCCAGTTCTACCCCTCCAATTATTCTCCACCCTTTCCAATTTTTGTATGACTCTAACCTTCTTCCCATCTTTCATCTGTATCTCCCTCGCATAAACTTATCCCCAATTTTAATCCTCAATCTCCATCTCGTGCTGCCTCCCACATATCCTTCACAGAATGTATGTGTGGTGTTCTCTTAAGATTCTGTGTGTTATGGCAAAGGGAAGAATGTGTGACCTACCCACAACTTCTCCTCTTTGAGTGTGTGTGTGAAGATGTAGCTGCCGGAACATCGCTCGAAGAAACGCCATGGAGAAGGACTATGGCGAGATGGTCATGACTATGGAAGAAACGCTGAATTTAAGCAGACACACTGAGAGAGCATTGGAGGAGGACAGATGCTGGCGTGGAAGACAATTGGCCAGGTAGAAACAACTCCAGCGACAGAGAAAATAGGAGAAGAGGCCACGGTCGAGGACTCCATGGGCACCATTGAAGAGCAGGAACCATAGATGCAGAAAATTTTCATTTCAGAAAGCAAGGTCGGTCTTTCTTTTCAGCTAAAGTACAATTTATATAGCTAATGTTTCCAATTAGCTCTACCGGTGATGCAGAGGAGAATAATCGGTTACTTAGTGTTCTCTGCTTTAGTTGGATCAGCCAAATACACAGACATAAGGGCAATTTTGGAATTTTCACACTGTTTCTTAATCTTTGTGCTAAAAAGCTTAGCAATCACATTTTGGGACGGAGGGAGTAATCTAATACATGAAGTAGGAAGACCTTGCGTTATCTACATGGTGAGTACTTGGCATGTACTCCAACTCGGGAGGTGGCTGTTCTGTTTAGCAATCCGACTTGGTCCACCCTGTCCTTCCAATTTACTCGAACTCGGCGAGTTTCTTGACTCGGGAAACTTTTCACTCAGCAAGTTACTCGGCCAGTCATTCTTTTTGTTTATATCTGAAAAAGTTTTAATTAAAGCGGGATATTATGGAATTTATAACTAATGAGTGGGTATTGTAAGGCATGGAAATTAACCTTACAAAGTCTAGGTTTAAAAGTATTTCAGATATCGGCTCATTCCAGCAGTAGTTCTGCATAGACCCAGGACTTGGAACCGTAAAACCGGGAAAACCGATCTGAACCGAACCGAATTTTCCGGTTCGATTCCTATCATTTTGGACTTCAGTTTTTTCGGTTCAGTTCCTATAGTATTTGATCGGTTCGGTTCCAGTTCGGTTCCGGTTCCTAGGCAGGAACCGAACTTCTTATACATTGCATGAGTAATCTTCATTTGAGGTGCCTCTAAGTGGAGTTTTTAGATGAAATTTCGTGACCTTGTTATTCATGAAATATAGATTATGCCCACCAAATTTGAACTTATAATTCAATTGAGAAGTCAGATAAATAAATTATTGAAAAACACTACGTCAAAATACATATAAAAATGCAATGTTTTTCAATATTTTATATAACTCACTTCCAGATTAAATTTGAAGCTGAAATTTGGTAGATATAATCTACACTTCATGTAGAACATGCTCACAAAATCTCATCAAAAAATTCCACCCGAAAGCACCTCAAATGGAGGTGGCCAGACGGCGTTCCAGACGGAAAATTCTTGTCAGGAATATTTGTTTTGCATAATATACCTTATATATTGTGGACCAGGCCAATCCGAGTAGTTGTTGTTTTACTACTGTAGTCCACTTTTATATTTAATGTTTGTTTGTAATTGTATTTGTTATTCGAGTTCACCTAAAAAAGGAATACTACATACTTTTTATTACAAATACTACCGATCAATTCATTACTACGTACATTTTACTTATGGTGCATTACTAGTAGAAGAATATTATTCTGGGGTTGAACTACCTGCTATAGGATGTGTACCTTGGAGCTATTAAACCTTTTTGCTTGATAATTGATGTCTATTTTAAAACTTTATGTTTTTGTCATGTTTAAACTCAATGTTTGCACTTGAATATTTTTGTGATATTTGAACATTGGGATATCATGTATTTATAATGTAATGGTCATAATTTCATGATTCGAAATTTGATTTTTTTATGTAACTGAAGTTAAAATGTGTTCATTTTAGGAGGATAATAAATTTTGTATACGGAACCTAAAAAAGGTAAGAACCGAATCGAATTTAACTAGAATCGAACCAAATTTAACCACAAATTTTTAACTAGAACCGAACCGAATTTAACGCCTATAATTTTTAATACGGTTCCATTGAATTTTAACAAGAACCGAACCGATCCCAGGCCTAGTTCTGCAACGACTAGGCGTCCAGGCGCTAGGGAGTGGTCGTCGGGTTCCCTCGCCTCGCCAGAAGAAGAGAAGACGACCATGGCATCGTCCAGTCCTCGTCCAGGCGTGCTTTGGCGATAAGGCATCGCTGATTTTGGGCACTCTAACCGCAGTTGCCGATTAAAGGTTACACTGATTGTAAGGTTATCAAAGGTGAGAGTTTTGTCACTTAGCATATGATGTATGTGCTTGATATTCATGGTAAGAAGAGAAGGCGGATTAAAGTACAAGTGGAGCCAAAGATAAAGTGGTGGAGAGGCTCAAGGGGAATCTGCATCAAAGTTTTGCACACAAAATGTTAGAGGAAGATGTATGGTGTATTGATAATGACGCACATGTGGATGATGTGTGGTTGTCAATGAAGTCGACCATTAATAAAGTGGCGAAGGAGATGCTCGGAGAATCTAAAGGATGTATGTCACCTAAAAGGACACATCTTGGTAGAATGATGAGGTGAAACAAGCAATAAGGACAAAAATAGAATGCTACAAAAAGTTGGCCAAAAGTTGGAGCGATGAGAAAATGGAGGAATACTAGGAGGCTAGAAGAAAAGCAAAGAAAGTTGTAAAGGAAGCAACATGGAAAGTGAATACGGAATTGTATGTAAAATTGAACTCTAAGGAAGAAGAAAAAGATATTTACATACTTGCTCGCCTTTGGGATTGTAAGACTCAAGCTATCGGAAAAGTTAAGTGTGAAGGATGTCAATCAGAGGGTACTAATGGAGGGCAAGGAAATAAAAAAAGGTGAAGGTCATACGTTGATACCTTGTTCAACGGGAATAAAGTATAAGGTATTGATGATCTCACTATACAAGAGTGTATGGTAAATCGGGACTTTGTGAGAAGGATCCAAATGACAGAAGTTAAAGAGACTTTGAGAAAGATGGGGCGGAAGAAAGTAGCGGGTCCAGATGGCATACTGATCGAGGCTTGGAGAAGTTTGGGAGAGAAAAGTATCGAGTGGCTAACACGTTTATTCAACATGATTTAGAGAAACAACAAGATGCCAGTGAGTTGGTGAAAGAGTACTCTCATTCCCCTATTTAAAAATAAGGGTGATTTGCAAGAATGTCCCAACTATCGAGGGATTAAGCTTATGAGTCACACCATGAAACTTAAGTGTGAAAATTTCGGAGAATCATTTTGGTTTAATGCTTGGACGCAGAACAATAGAGGCCATTCACCTGCTTAGACAAGTTGTGGAGAAGTATAGACACTAAAAAGGATCTGCATTTGATGTTCATTGACTTAGAAAAGGCATATGATAGGGTACCTCGAGAACTCTTATGGTGGTCCTTAACTAGAAAAGGCATATCATGTAAGTATATCAGTATCATCATGGATATGTATGAGACTTGCACTATGTTGAAACCCTAGTTGTATTGGGCTTAGCCCATCTTGTATAGTAATCCTAGTGCTCTAGTTTTTGCTATAAATATAGCTACTTGTATAGTTCTTTATATAAAGATTTATAGTTCATATAATTCACATGGTATCAGAGACACTGTTTTTCATTATATGGCGGCGCACTGTAGTTAGCACACTGTTTTTCCGGCGAGTATTTCCGGCGTGAACAGTAGCCGCGCTAGGTGTTGGAGCACTTCCGGTAGTGATTTATCAAATCTACGCCTACCGCCTTACTTAGCGCACCATCGACTAGCTGGAAGTATTAATTATCAGTCATGGGCTATTTTCGTGGAGATGTGTTCAAGGGTCAAGGTCAAATTGATCACTTGAATGTCGATGCAGCTACGATCAAAGACAAGCGGAATGAATGGGAGAATATGGATGCCTTATTGTGTAACGTGTTATGGCAATCTATGGATCCAAAACTTCATCCTACTTATCATTCATACCGCACATGCAAACAGATTTAGGAAAAAGCGAAGGCCAACTACACAAATGACATCCAAAATCTGTTTTCCTTTGGTTCCAAAATTGCTACGCTCAAACAACAGGATTTGGACATTCAAGAGTTTCTAGGACGGGCTGAGGCATTACTGTTTGAATATAATAATATTCAACCTATCACTGAGGATAAGGAGAAACAACTTGAGCAAAGATAACAACTTGTTATGGTTTTAACCTTAGCAGGTCTTCGCCCAGAGTTGTTATCAATCCGTGAGCAAATTCTCTCCAGTTCTTCTGTTCCTGCAATGTCTGAAGCCTTTTCCAGAATTCTTCGAGCCGCCCCAATATCTGTTGACGCATCTTCAAGTGATTCTATCATTCTTGCATCTCAAGGTTCCGGGCATGATGGGGGAAATCAAAAAGGATATCCACGCCGTAATCGTCCCAAGTGTGATTTTTGTCATAGGATGGGTCATACTAAAGATAGGTGTTGGAAGTTACATGGTAAACCTCCCGGCTCTGCCAATGTTGCCCAAATCCCGCAAGTTCCAGTTGTGCTGCCTCTGCCTCCTGACGAATATGATGATTATCAGAAATTTAAGCAGTCCACTTTGACTTCGTCAACAGCAGGTACTTCTAGAGCATGTGTCAAACACAACGAGCTCATGGATCATTGACTCAGGTGCTTCCGACCATATTTCTGGTAATCCCCATCTTTTATCCCATATTACAAAATACCAAAACCTTCCATTAATCACCCTAGCCAATGGTCTTCACACTTCGGCTACGGGTATTGGGCAAGCACTCCCACTTTCATCCTTACCATTAGATTCAGTTCTATATGTTCCTCATAGCCCATTTAACCATGTCTCTGTTAGCAAAATTACACGCTCTCTTAATTGTTCTATAACCTTTTATGCTGACTCTGTGACTGTGCAGGACCGTTGTACGGGGAAGATGATTGGCGTCGGGCGTGAATCTCAGGGCTTGTATCACCTCCAACCTCTTGATCCAGTTGTTTGTGTGTCTATTGAACCAGCACTTTCCTTACATAATCGTTTGGGTCATCCCAGTCTTTCCAAATTTCGACGTATGGTCCAAAGTTTCTCCAGTATTTCCTCTTTAGATTGTGAGTCGTGTCAACTTGGAAAGCAACCTCGTCAATCCTTTCCAAGACGTGTCAATAATAGGGCTGCGTCCCCTTTTGATTTAGTTCATACAGATGTATGGGGTCCATATCGAGTCAATTCTACCCTAGGGTTTCGTTATTTTGTCATTTTTGTGGATGACTTCTCCCGTCACACGTGGTTGTTTTTAATGAAAGAACGTCTTGAATTGTTTCATATCTTTCAAAAGTTTTGGGCTGAAATTCACACCCAATTTGGGCGTTCTATCAAGATTGTACGTAGTGATAATGCTAAGGAATTTTTTACCAGTCCCTTTAATCAATTCATGACATCACGAGGTATGCTTCATCAGTCTTCTTGTGTTTATACACCTCAACAAAATGGGGTTGCTGAACGCAAGAATAGACATTTAATTAAAACTGCCCGTACTATGTTGTTACATTCACATTCACCACCACAGTATTGGGCAGATGCCGTTCTCACTGCATGCCACCTCATTAACAGAATGCCTTCATTGGTCATTGGTAATGCCATTCCCCATTCTGTTTTGTTTCCTACTCAGGCACTGTTTCCATTACCACCTCATGTGTTTGGGTGTGTTTGCTTTGTCCATGATACCACACCAGGAATACCCAAAATGTCTGCTAGGTCAATCAAATGTATCTTTCTTGGATATTCCCGTCTTCAAAAGGGGTATCGTTGTTATTCCCCGGTACTTAGAAAACATTTTGTGTCCGCTGATGTCACTTTCCTTGAGTCCTCATTTTATTACCCATCTCCCCTCTATGATACCCCCTCATGTGTTGACTTTCTTCCATATCTCAGACCCATCTCCACCCCCTTACCGATGCTCCTATCGACCCATCTCCACCAACAACCCGTCCTTTACAAGTGTATCAACGACGCCCTCGCCCTCCACCTAATGAGTCCTCTGAGGTCACGCCTGTTGATTCCCCTACTTCGGATCTCACACCAGCACAGTCAGCTAGCCAAGTGCCAGAGAACAATCATGATGATTTGCCCATAGCCCTCCGCAAAGGTACACGCTCAACTTTGAATCCTCATCCCATTTATAACTTTTTAAGTTATCATCGCCTCTCCACCCCTTGCTTTGCCTTCACTTCACATTTATCTGGTGTCTGTATTCCTAAAACCACACATGAGGCATTATCACACCCAAAGTGGCGTCGAGCTATGTTAGCTGAAATGGAGGCTTTACATTCTAGTGGGACATGGGACTTAGTTCCCCTTCCTATTAGGAAATCAGTTGTTGGGTGCCGCTGGATCTACACAGTCAAAGTAGGACCAGATGGCAACATTGATCGTCTTAAAGCACGTCTGGTTGCAAAGGGGTATACACAAATCTATGGATTAGACTACACTGACACTTTTTCTCCTGTTGCAAAAATTGCATCTGTTCGTCTAATTTTATCCATGGCAGCAATGAGCCACTGGCCATTGTTTCAATTGGATATTAAGAATGCATTTCTGCATGATGATTTACATGAGGAGGTTTATATGGAGGAACCACCTAGTTTTGTTGCTCAGGGGGAGTCTGGTTTGGTTTGCAGATTACGTCGTTCTTTATATGGCCTGAAACAATCCCCGCGTGCATGGTTTGGGAGATTTAGTGTTGTTGTTCGTGGTTTTGCCAGGTCTAGCGCTGAAGCAGAATATCGTGCAATGGCCCTTACTTCATGTGAGAAATTATGGTTGAAGCATCTCCTCCAAGAATTAAAATACGGAAGCATGAAACCCGTCAAGCTAATGTGTGATAATCAAGCTGCAATGCACATTGCCTCCAATCCAGTGTATCATGAGAGGACTAAGCACATCGAAGTTGATTGTCACTTTATTCGAGAAAAAATCACAAATGGACATATTACTACTCATTATGTCAAAACAACAGATCAACTTGCAGATATTTTAACCAAGTCTCTTAGAGGACCTAGGATGCAATATATTTGTAACAAACTTGGTGCATATAATTTATATGCTCCAGTTTGAGGGGGAGTGTTGAAACCCTAGTTGTATTGGGCTTAGCCCATCTTGTATAGTAACCCTAGTGCTCTAGTTTTTGCTATAAATATAGCTACTTGTATAGTTCTTTATATAAAGATTCATTATAATGAAATACAGTTCATATAATTCACACACTACAAACGTCCGTACTAGTGTAGGGAAGACAGCAGAGTTCCCTATTACTATCGGAGTGCACTGCACCAAGGATCGACTCTAAGCCTTTTCTTATTTGCTATAGTCATGGATGAACTTACGAAGTCAATTCAAGAAGATATACCATGGTGCACGATATTTGTCGACGATATTGTATTGATTGATGAGACGCAGTCGGGTGTTAAAGCAAAGTTGGAAGTATGACAACAAACATTGGAGATCAAGGGTTCCAGACTGAGTCGAAGCAAGACTGAGTATATGTAGTGCAAGTTTGGTGGAGGACCCGAGGTAGAAGTAGTAGTAATTGTGGGATTACTCTTGATGTTAAGGAGATACTGGTGTGTGATACTGTGGGGCTCAATAATTCAGAAGAATGGTGAATTAGATGGAGATGTATCCCATAGAATCAAAGTTGGGTGGATGAAATGGAAGAGTGCATCCGGATTTCTATGCGATCGAGGTATGCTGACTAGACCGAAGGGCAAATTTTATCAAACAACAATTAGGTCTGCATTAATGTATGGCGTAGAGTGTTGGCGGTGAAACAATGTGACATTTAATAGATGAGTGTGGCAGAGATGCAGATGTTGCGTTAAATGTGTGTACATACCAGAAAAGACCACTTGAGGAATGAGATAATCAGACAAAAGGTGAGGGTGGCACCTAAGAAGATAAGATGCAGGAGTCTCGATAACGGTGGTTTGATCATGTGCGCAGAAGACCGAGTGATGAGCCTATTAGACGACATGAGTGGTGGGGAGAAGAGGTGGGGAGGAGAGGGAGAGGAAGACCCAAACCGACTTGGGTTAGAAGAATCAGAACTGATATGCGTCTTATTGGGTTGGATGAAAGTATGGCTTTGGAGAGAGCAAAGTGGAGGGCGCACATTCATATGGACGAGAATGGAACAGCCGGACGAGACTCGTAAATGATAGGTGAACCGCGGACGGGAGATAGCCGGAGAAGGGAGTTAGACGGAGTTCTTCCCATACATAGCCAAGAAGAGAAGCCAGAGCCATTAGCATTCAGCCAAGGATGGTAGAAGGGAGATAGCTGAAGGTGTGTCACCGTCGCTAGCTTTGTTAGCATCACAAACTTTCGAGCCAATGGCGATTTAAGAGGAAAACGAAGAGTGTCTAGGACTTCTGTTTAAGGGATATTTAATTTTTTCCCCCGCAGCACAATCACGTAATAAATAACTTTGAAGTCCTTCTATTAACAACATGTTGATGCGGTTCAGTGGTTTAGCGGGAGCTCTCTGCGTGTGTACTAAGCTTTTCACCCATGTTCGATTCCCGCATGCTACCAGTTTTTCCATTTAATTTTTCTAAAGCTTTGAAAAGTTCCCACACGGATTAAAACGGAGGATTTACTCCTCATATGTCCCTATTTATTCGCCCCTTCAATAGAGAGTTGGAATAGGCGGCAAGGCTGCTTCAATGCTACGCATTAGTCAAGTATTTCAAGATTCATTCGGTTTTTCATCAAGCCGAAAAACTGACCCTAAAGATTGGTTTCCGAAACATCGGGTTTCAATAAAATTCGATTCGGTTGCGGGTTACGGAATTTGAGAAACCGAAAAATCGGTTCCGTTCGGAATTTTCCCATTTCGGTTTGGTTTGAAATTTTCCCCTACTTGGTCCTACTCGCTACTCGGCCGTTGACCGAGTAGCTACCGAGTAGCGATTTAATTACGTAGGGAAGACCCTAATATGACACCGGTTCTGGAATTGTATTTTAGTATTCCTCCATAAGAGGGCTGAATCAGGTTTGACATCCGGCAGAAAACTTCTCCAATGTGCGCTGTCTTTTTGCATGCATGTGTATGATGTTTACTAGTTGTAGACAATTAGTTCACACTACAATGCCATGCTGGATTCTCCAATTTGCTAGAGCCGAGTTCAATTGGTACCAAATTTTGATTGCTTCTAATGGCAGAAGTGTCAACAAAAAAGAACATAATTCATTGGTAGGGGAAGCTACATAAAATGAGAACCAAAGAAAATTATGTACATTCTTGTGTCTAACTCACTTGAAGATTACGAAGCCGAATTGAATAGTTGAGCAGTACAGGTTCCACAGCATCAGCCGAGGAGGACTCTAGAACCTGCAAGTGGACATTCCAGTTTCACTCATGCATGTGTCCTGGATTGTGGTTTCTTAGACATAAATGACATGCTGCTTTTTACCATCAATAAACATGAAACTGCAGTTAACTGAACTGTTTCGTCTGAATCATCCAGCAAAACTAGTATTACCCCAAGAATCTGGGTAGTGTATTGAAGGACGTGGATAGATGGCATCTGTAAGACGAAGTTGAAAGCTAATGCTCACTCACCATATTTAGTAAATTGGCCATTTTAAAATCTTTCAAAAAATGCAAAAACGGAGTACAAAGTTATTTTGAAGTATAAAAATGAGGGAAAAGTGGGGAGTTCATAATCAGCAAAAATACCTGAACAAGCCCTCTTAGACAGAGACGTCTCACTGTTGGAGAGTCATCCGACACATGCCGGCACAATGCTTCAACCATCTGTTCCAAAAGATGACCAAAGCCATCGCTGCAGTCATGCGAAACAGAAAAGTTATGCTGTAATATCTATGTGTGTATGGGGAGTATTCTCGTCCAGTAGTTTGGAGTGCTAAAATACAGAACAGATGAATGCAGGCTGTTAAATGTAATGCACGGTGCAGAACAGAAGTGCATACATTTTCTCTCTCTGCAGACAATTTTATTTACTTTTCTTTTCTTCCACTCACGAATATCTCTCTAGAGACTTCTTCTTTTCATTTTCTTTCTTTTTTCCCTATTCTGGCCACTTTAATCCAACAGCATATCTGGCTGCCTCCAGTGCTGAACAGCTGAAATAAATTAACCTATTTGCTAAAAACTTTGTTGTTGTTTATTTGATTAAAAGGGGTGGAATCCCGATGCACATTGGCGTCCACGCAAGGCAGGTATGGGGAAGGGTCCCACCACAATGGTGTATACGGGGCAAGCCTCCCCTTGTCATATTGAAAAAAGCCCGATCCCAAGACTTGAACTCATGACCTCTCGGTCACACAGCAACACCATAAGCGGTGCGCCAAGGCTCCCTTGTATTGTATTTAATTTGAATATGTTGAAAATTTTATTTACTTTTTTGCTTCTATACTCTTCTGTAAAATTAGAATTCTGTACTTATTACATTCTATTTAGATGACACTCGTATTTTATGTGTAAAATTTGCTTCTGTCTACTTCTGATCGGAATTTTGTTCATCTACCATTAGTTTCTTTCTTCATCGGAGCGGTTCGACTTTCCTCCCAGCTGAACAATGTATTACTAATCCAATTATTATAGATTGACAATTGAGGATCACTTTACTGAATTGTTACTTTGATGTCTGAGCTAAATAACAAAGATCAGCAGTTTGCATACTTTATTTGCTTCAAACACAAAACATGCATATCACAAGTAGCACTAGTATTCTATGATCCACCTGAAATCATTTTTACCTGAGTTGTTCTGAACAAAAGGCCGGAAAAGGAAACGGAGAAAGAAAAACGGAACTCTGAAGGGAGCTTTGATGTTTTGGAAGAGATGTGGCTTGAGATGGAGAAATAAAAAAAAGGAGAAAATACCAGGTCTGCAAAGACAGGTGTGAGCAGGGTAAAAGAAAAAGAGAGGGAATATACCATGTGGGTGGTGAGAGAAATTAAAATGAAAATATGTCTTCACATAACTTATGTCAGAAGTTTAAGACAGTTTTGCTAACTTTTGTCCCAAAATATGACAGACACCCATGTCCCCAACTGACTGCCACAGGTATTTTATTACCCATTCAGCCTTCATTCAATTTACTAGAGGGCAAAACAAGTTATAGGCAGTGGGGTCAGGCAAAACAAGTAATAAAAATGATTTTATTACCCCTTCAGCCTTCATTCAATTTTCAGCCTTCAGCCTTATTACCCCTTTGCCCAAACTCCATGCAAACTTAGTTCACTCAAAATACATTTGGGGTCAGGTTAATTATTCACTTGTTTTTACATTCCATTTTTTAATAAATAATAATTTTTTATATGCGAGGGGACAGTGGAGGAAGAACAAGCAAAGATCTAGGCATACCTATACCGTAAAAACTCAGATAATGCAGCAGCAGCAGCTTCCCTCTGCAGTTGTAGGGGCTGGTCTAACGATTTACTTAAGAACAAACATATTGTAGGCACCTGGAACAGAAAGGGAAAACATTAGTATCTAACCCTCTTTTATATATGCATATATATATACATACACACACACAAACACATATATATGTATGTATATATATATATATATATATACTTCCTCCGTTCCATAAAAGTTGCAACATTGGGATTTCTGCACTATTCACACACCTTACTTTGACTACGATTTTCTAATAATATATATAATAAAAATATTATGTATAAAATATTAATAAATTTGTATTAATGTAAATTTCCAATATATTAATTTTTTTTAATGTTTACTAATACATAAATAAATATAATTATAGTCAAAGTTGCGCGTTGACAAACGTGAAAGTCAAACTGTTGCAACTTTTATGGAACGGAGGATAGTATATTATATTGGGGAAAAGAATCAAATAAGGCCTTCTACTATTCCACAATCGTCACATAAGGTCATGTACTCGATAAAGTGTCATATAAATACATCTACTTATAAAAAGCAATCGGATGAGTCAAAACGACCCGTTCACAACCTCCTAATCCCGATTTTAGCTTACGTGTCATTATTTTTGCCTTGTATTTAAGTCAATCCTGGCCAAATATTTCACGTCAGCCTTATAATCCATTTTGAAAAGATAGCCAGAAGTACGCAAAAATCGGGATTACAAGGTTGTCAATTGGTTGTTAGGACTCATTTGATTGCTTGTTATAAGTAGACGTATTTATATGACACTTTATTGAGTACATGGACTTATGTGACGATTTCATAATAGTAAAAGACCTCATTTGACCCTTTTCTCTATATATAGAGATGGGTCTAAGTAAAAAGTAGTTTTCCCGTGAAAAGTGAGAACAAATCTTGGCCTTTAATAACTTGCAAATAGATGGATTAGATGAACTTTCATCACAAGACACGGTGTCAAATAATGTGCAAATGTTATAGTACAAAGTGGATATTGAATGAAAAAGTGCAATCATGTGCAAAATAATACTCCCTCCGTCCCATTGGACTTTGCCAACTTTCCCTTTTTTGTTGTCCCAAAAAACTTTGACACTTTCCTATTAAAGCAAATAATTTGTGGTTCTACTCATTTCTCTTTCCTCTGCACAAACCTCCACCACACAATTTTTACTTTTCTTATTTCTCACCAACTTTTAACTTGGCAAAGTCCACCGGGACGGAGTTAGTATGACAATAAAAGATTGTCAATTATTTTTTAACTTGTGCACATTTTATTATGTACCTTTATGCTCTACATATACACTTTTTGCATATTCTGGTACACTTTTGTTACAATATTTCGATTAACAGTTTTTCATAATTACCAAAACGCCACCGCGTTTCTAACTTAAAATTTGATCTCTTCCATCCATTTTTTCATATCAAAGGCCAACATTAGTTCTTATTTTTCACCTAGAAAGAACTTTTTATTTGAACCTGTAGAAAAATGTAGCATATTCATGTTATTTTATTATGTGTACATCCTGGACTGTATAGATAGGAAGTAGAGTTGATTTAGGACTCTAACTCTTAGATTAACACGCAGTGTAGATAAGAATAGATAGATCCTAAATATTAGGATCTGTAACAAACCTTAGCTTATCTGTAATTTTGTATTTATATCATTGCCGGATGGCTCAATAATACATGGAAGATTAATTCTTCAAACCTACATGGTATCAGAGCTTCGGTTTAAACAATGGTAGAAACCAGTGAATCTGATTCCTCACACACTACCAACCCTAACTCCCAAATTAGCTCTATGACAAATTACCAGTCTCCTATTCATTCATCTATGATAATCACTAGTCATAGATTGAATGGAACAAACTATCTGGAGTGGTCTCAATCTGTCAGACTTGCAATTGATGGGAGGGGAAAGCTGGGTTACATCACAGGAGAAATCCAACCAAAAATACAAGCAGAAGAAGGGTACAGTACATGGAGGTCAGAGAATTCACTCATAACAGCTTGGCTTCTCAACTCCATGGAGCCCCTAATTGCCAAACCTCATATGTTTATGAAAACTGCAAAGGAGGTATGGGATTCTATTAAGGAAACTTATTCAGACCTTGAGAACTCTTCTCAAATTTTTGAACTCAAAACCAAATTGTGGCAATCTAAACAAGGAAATAGGGATATTATTTCATACTACAATGAAATGGTATCTCTGTGGCAAGAATTAGATCAATGCTATGATGATGAAGAGTGGGAGAGTGCTAAGGATCTGGCCAGACATAAGAAAAAAGAAGAGAATGATAGGGTCTACATGTTTCTAGCAGGGATCAATAGGGACCTAGATGAAGTTAAGGGGAGGATACTTGGAAAAAAACCTCTACCTTCTATCAGGGAGGTATTTTCTGAAATCAGGATGGAGGATAGCAGGAAGAAGGTCATGTATAACACCCCAACACCTAATGAGGAACCTGGGGAATCTTCAGCTTTGGTGGCCAGAAGTGATGACAACAAGAAAAAACCTTGGTGTGATCACTGCAAGAAACTGTGGCACAGAAGGGATACATGCTGGAAACTCCATGGAAAACCACCAAGAGCTGGGAAGAAGAAAGTAGAAAGGGCCCTACAAACTACTGTGACTGAGACTCAACAAGAGGCAGGAGTTGAACCTAAACAGCTACCATTCACTCAGGAACAGATAGAGTACCTACTCAGATTCATACCTACCCAGAAAATCTCCAATCCTGAAAACCCTATCTGTTCTTTTGCACAGAATGGTAAAATAACATCATATTTTTGTTCTGAAAAAACTAAAAACACCTGGGTCATTGACTCAGGTGCAACAGACCACATGACCTATATTCCAAAGTTTTTTTCTTCTTATCAACCTTGTGCAGGAGATAAAAAAGTTAGAGTTGCAGATGGCTCTTTCTCAACCATAGCAGGGATGGGAAATATTAAAATTTCCTCATCCATTAACCTTTCCAAAGTCTTACATGTTCCTAAACTTTCCTGCAATCTTATCTCTATTAGCAAAATTACTAAAGATCTTCAGTGTTGTGTAAAATTTTTTCCCTCTTATTGCATTTTTCAGGATCTGGCATCAGGGAAGATGATTGGCAGTGCTAGAGAGGAAGATGGCCTCTATACTTTTGATGAAGGAACACAATTGAATAAACAAGGTCAAGAAAAAACTTGTTTGCAAACTGTTTTTCCTTTTAATAATGAAGTGTACCTAATGCACTATAGATTAGGTCACCCAAGTTTTTCCTACTTGAAAATGTTGTTTCCTAAGTTATTTCTTAATAAAAATCCTTCATCATTTCATTGTGATATGTGTGCACTTGCCAAACATCATAGGAGTTCTTACATCCCTCATAGTTACAAACCAACTAGTCCTTTCACTATTGTACACAGTGATATCTGGGGTGCATCTAGAGTTTCAACTCTGAAAGGAAAAATGTGGTTTGTAACTATCATAGATGATCACACAAGGGTCACATGGGTGTTTTTACTTAAAGAAAAATCTGAGATTGAAGAGGTGTTCAAACAATTTTACTCAATGATTTAAACTCAATTCAACACTAATATCAAAATTGTGAGAAGTGATAATGGACTTGAGTATTTTTCTAAGAAGTTAAATACTTTTTTTGCTGAAAAAGGGATTGTTCATCAAAGTTCCTGTGTAAATACTCCTGCTCAGAATGGAATAGCTGAGAGGAAAAATAGACATTTACTTGAAGTTACTCGTGCAATAATGTTTTCTGCCAAAATTCCAAAATATTTATGGGGAGAAGCTGTTTTACATGCTACCTATCTAATTAATAGGATGCCATCAAAAACTCTAGGATTCAAAACTCCTATTGATACTCTTCAAACTTGTTTTCCTGAAACTAGACTAATTAACTCTCTTCCCATAAAAATTTTTGGGTGCACAGTTTTTATTACCAATCCTGACAGAACTGCAAGTAAATTTGACCCTAAAGGAAAAAAATGTGTTTTCTTAGGACTCTCTTCAACTCAGAAAGGCTATAAATGTTTTGACCCTATAACAAAAAAGATGTTTATAACTATGAACACTGTTTTTGTAGAAGAACAACCTTTTTTTGGTACTCATCTTCAGGGGGAGATTCCTAATGAAGATGGTAATAATGTATCACATATCCTTGAAAAACTAGAACCTCTTGACATTAATCTAGATGCACAGTATAATAGACAGTTAGATGCACTAGAAAATAGTCAAGAGTCAAAAGAAAATGAATTTTTTTTTCTGAAACAAGGAAAGATGATGAACAGCAGATAAGTAAGTTTTTTGGCAAGGTTTATGAAAGGAAAGTTCCAAATCACAGAATAGAGGACAACCCTGATCCTGCCACTGTCAATGAATCTGACTCAATGCCAGAAAATGACAAAGGTAATAATTTCAGTGATCTAAATCTACCCATTGCTCTCAGAAAAGAAAAAAGGTCATGTGTTAAATACCCTATCTCAAACTATCTGTCCTATTCTCAGTTATCTACATCATTTGCAGCTTTTACCTCTAGCCTTTCCAGTGTCTCTATTCCCTTAACCATACAGGAAGCCCTATCTATACCTGAGTGGAAGAAGGCTGTTTTAGAAGAAATGAATGCCCTTGAAAAGAATCAGACATGGCAGACTGTAGAGGTACCCAAAAATAAACCAAGGGTTAGATGCAAATGGGTGTTTACTCCTAAATTCAAGGCAGATGGTACACTTGAAAGATATAAGGCCAGACTGGTTGCCAAAGGATACACACAAACCTATGGCATAGATTATACAGAAACTTTTGCACCAGTTGCAAAATTAAATACTATAAGGATTCTACTATCTCTAGCTTCTAACCTAGACTGGCCTCTTCAACAGTTAGATGTGAAGAATGCTTTCTCAAATGGGAAGCTTGAAGAGGAAGTATACATGAGCCCTCCTCTTGGGTTTGAGGAACAATATGGCTCAAAGGTGTGCAAGCTAGAGAAAGCCTTATATGGGCTTAAACAGTCCCCAAGGGCTTGGTTTGAAAGGTTTACTCAGTTCATAAAGAAGCAAGGATTCAAACAAGCCCAAGCAGATCATACACTATTCATGAAATTCTCCATTAAGGGAGAAATTGCAGTACTAATTGTTTATGTGGATGATATAATTCTTACAGGAAACTATTGTGAAGAGATTGAAGACCTGAAGAAGAAGCTTGCTCAGGAATTTGAAATCATAGACCTGGGAGAATTGAAGTATTTTCTTGGCATGGAGATAGCCAGATCAAAGAAGGGAATTGTGGTATCCCAAAGGAAGTATGTACTAGACCTACTTCATGAAACAGGTATGAGTGCATGCAGACCAATAGATACTCCAATTGACCCTAATCAGAAGTTAGGAAATGTCAAGGAAGGAGTACCAGTTAATATTCACCAATATCAAAGATTGGTGGGAAGGTTGATTTATCTGGCACATACAAGGCCAGATATTGCCTTTGCAGTCTGTATGGTTAGTCAGTTCATGCATAATCCATTCCAAGAACATCTAGATGCTACCTACAGGATCCTAAGATATTTGAAAAGTTGTCCAGGGAAAGGATTATTTTTTAAAAGAAGTGACAATAGAAGTGTAGAAGCCTTTACAGATGCAGATTATGCTGGGTCAATAACTGATAGAAGGTCTACATCTGGATATTGTACTTATGTATGGGGGAATCTGGTGACTTGGAGGAGTAAGAAACAGAATGTTGTTGCCAGAAGTAGTGCAGAATCTGAATTTAGATCTACGGCTAATGCAATCTGTGAGCTACTTTGGATCAAAAGAATGATGACAGAGTTGAATATGGAAATGAACCTACCTATGAAATTATATTGTGACAATAAAGCAGCCATTAATATTGCTCACAATCCTGTGCTACATGATCGTACTAAACACATTGAGGTGGACAGGCATTTTATCAAAGGGAAGATTGAAGCTGGAATTGTATGCACACCATTCATATCTACTAAAGAGCAGACAGCTGATATCTTTACAAAGGGGCTGTTTAAACCAGTGTTTGAGTTTCTTATAAGCAAGTTGGGAATGTATGATATATACTTACCAACTTGAGGGGGAGTGTAGAAAAATGTAGCATATTCATGTTATTTTATTATGTGTACATCCGGGACTGTATAGATAGGAAGTAGAGTTGATTTAGGACTCTAACTCTTAGATTAACACGCAGTGTAGATAAGAATAGATAGATCCTAAATATTAGGATCTGTAACAAACCTTAGCTTATCTGTAATTTTGTATTTATATCATTGCCGGATGGCTCAATAATACATGGAAGATTAATTCTTCAAACCTACAGAACCAAACTATATATATATGGATGGAACCGCCACCAAGCCGCCTCCATTTGAGGTGATCCGAGTCAAACCGGGAAGAATTTTATGGGACGAAGGAAGTATATATCTTGGCGCAGTGCTTTTCAATAATTTATTTAACTGACTTCCAAATTGAATTTTAATCTGAAATTTGGTGAACATAATAATCTAAACTTCATGAAGAAAATGTACAAAAAATTTCATCAAAAAATTCCACCCAGAAGCATCTCAATGGAGGTGGTGTGATGGCAGTTCCGGTCAGGCCATCCTGACAGGAATACCACTCCTTGTTTTCTTGTTTTTTTCAGGTGTAAGAAGGGAAAATGAGAGGCATCTGTGAGTTCTTCTACCTCCTTTGGTCTTTTCATAGAGATGCTTCCAGCAAGCTCCCCAATAAGACTGATCCACTTCTCGTTTCCATTTTGCTTCCCACCCCTAGCCAGGATCTGTACAAAGTATGTTTGCCTAATTTAATTATATTATCAAGTATCAACCTCATTGATAAACTCTTACAACCTTGAGAACTCCAATAGATGACCCCACCTTTCCCATCTCAAGATCACCAACACATTCACAGAAAGCTTGAAATGCATTGAGCAGAGCACTGAGCTCATGGAAAAACACAATGTCAGAAAAAGATAGATGGACCTCAAATCAATTCAAAGAATATATTTATTGAACGTAAACATGGCATCATCATCACCTTAATCCCCCGACTATACTGAAGTTGGTGACATGAAATTTAGTATTGATTAATTATCTAAAAACTAATTAACGCTTAGTTCATGTCAGAAAAATATTGGCAAAGTTTTACACTATATGCCCTCCGTGACTCAACCTTCTAAAGAAGGAAAAATGAGATGAAATTCTAAAAGCATCATGCAGAAAATGATGCATGCAAGAAAATTACCTTAGTGGTTCTTGTTCCCCAGAACTAGCCAAACCATGGCAGGTTCCCAGGTGAAGTATAAGTGTAGCAAGCACAGAAGCATAACTTTGCTCAACAGTTTTTCTCCCAAGTTTACCACCACCTCTGATGGATAAAAAGAATACACACAAACACATACATGGCCAATGTATTGAATGCAGAAAAGAAATCAATTCTGAAAATCAAAACTAGACCTGAAGAAAGCGGTGAGAGCAACAACAGCTGCACGTGAAACATCAATCTCTACGCCATCATCAAAAGAAATCCTAGAACTCTCTCCTTTCCCAGTATCACTTTTCAGGATTGGAGACTGATTCATGATCGATATCACATGCTCCAGAAATGAATGTGAAAGTACCAAATGTTGCGAAAATGCCTGTATTCCCCAGTTAATGAATCCCAAAAATAAAGTAACATAATGAAGTTCTTTATTTGATATTGTGAATAAATTACTGAGGCCCTAAATAAAAAAGATTTTGAATAAAGCAAAATGATTCACATGATAATCACTAAGAATTGCATATGCAGAAATGCAGAAAGAGTTACACAGCAAGCTTTAAAGACCTTACACATTCAAGGTTATTGAATTTTGTGGCGCTTGATTTTTAATTGGTTCATAACATGCCGGCAGGCTTTTAATTTGATGTTCTGTGCTCCATTCTGTTTGGAGTACAGAACAAAAACACATACTAGTGAGACATAAAAATGCATAATAGGATTTACGTTGTCATATAAACCTTTCCAACTTCTTCCACATAATGTCATTCCTTTACCAAAAATCAATGTTCTAAAAAGCATTAGGTGCTAGGTGGGCTGGGCCTAGCACCATAGCACCTATGTCAGACCTAGATAGGGTTAGATAGGATAGAGTAAAAAAAAGGAGGCCAAGATAAGTCCAAAGCCTTACTGGAACTAGGAGAGGAATTTGAGAACTTAGCAAAGGATTACACAGATACCTCCTCCGTTCTTTTTTAGTTGCAACCCTTCTAGTTTCACGTTTGCCAGCACCCAACTTTAACCATTAATACATTTCATTTGGTATTGGTAATGAAATTAAAAAATCAGAAATCGAAATTTTAAAATGAGACAAATTTAACGCTAATCTTCAAAAAATATATATTTAATTAATTTAAATTAATAAAAAAAGTATTCAGGGTAAAGCATATGAATTGTGTAAAGGTAAAGCATATGAATTGTGTAAAATTCAACATGTGAATTGTGAATGGACTCAACAGAGGTAGTATAAAACAAGAGGAAAAAATGACAATGATAAGCTTTGTGAAGTGTAAAATACAATCAATGATCCATCAATATGCCTACATGAAAAGCATCTTGTATAGGCCAACCACCGCGTAGTCTTTGTATATCTTTCATCACTATATCCCGTCCTGCAGCAGCTAAAAATTCAGTGAACACAACTTTTGAGTTTGTGTTTTCAGCTAAAGAACATACCTTTTGAAAGTTAAAGAAATCACACCACTCATAGGGAGATTCAATACAAACATGTGAAAAGTGAAAACACCTTCCCACATGTTTAGACAAGTGAAAAATGAAAATAGGCAGCACGGTGGTAATTAAAAGTAAAATAGACATGAAGAGGATAGGATACAGCTCCAAGAGCTTCCTGACGTAAATACTTCTCAGTGACATGAAACACAGCAGTGAGCAAAGATTGTGATGTCCTGATGTATGTGCATTGTAAAAAAACACGCTTAGTAAAAGAAATGAAAAAAACAGAACTTTCCTATCCACCCCATATCATGAATATCATATTTAATATTTTAATGTCATATGTTAGATGACCTTGAAACATCAAATTCATTGAACTCATTCCTTCTTTTCATAATAAACTCAATCACCGCTTGAATAGAACCTTCTGCAGACTGCTTGATTTTGTCACATATAGCACCGGAGCAACCATGCAGAGCAGCGGCAAGCTATACAAGTACAATATTGTAAATGACTTGATAAGACTATCACCAATGTGCTAAAATCTAACGTTTGTGAAAAAATGGATGAAAAATTACTTCATCCTTGTTTAGCAAGGTGCAAACAGATGAAACAACCCGGTTGAACACCTCTGATGGATCTATTGAAGCATCCTGGCAATATAAAATTAACTCAGATGGGCAGAAATTGCTTTTTATGAATCACAACTCATCATTATAAGCAACTTAATCCCAACTAGTTTGTATGAAATTAGTCAAAACTATACGTTCATGAAAAAAGCAGTGGCAATGTTTTATGTAGGATGTATTCCAGTTGCAGCCTCATAAGAAAGAAAAATGATAAAATTTTAAAAATCATCATCATAGGTTATTTAACTATTTTTACAAGCATGGAAAAGTCGTGAGATGGTAATCAGTTCAGATATTTGCTATTTCATATCCAATACGTTATTGACACTACAAAATGAAAATCATGGAACATGACCAAGATTGCTTTGTACATACAAGAAGCAAACTAAGAATGTTAAGAGAACTTACGCTTCTTAAGATGGCTACAACATCCTCAAGGGAAGACAAAGCATTGTATGACTGCTCTATATCGTTTCCCAGACTCAAACTTATGGGCTTGGGCAGGGATAAAGATATACTGAAAAATAGATCTAGAATCTGCATGGAAAAACATTTGACCTTTTTGTACATGAGAACTCAGGACACGAGAATATATGAAAAAGAGTCCATTTGATCAATGAATGAAAATCAAATTTCAATGTATAATATTCTGATCCATCCCAGAAAGTACTGTATAAACTTACCTGGACAGAGACTTTCCTGACCTCATAATTTGTATCTATGCATCGAGGAAGATATACCATTGTTCTCTCTCCCAATGCCAAAGCATCACGACTTGGTAAAAAAAATGCAGCTACCAAAAGCAAAAGAGTATTAATAATTACAAGTTGGATAGTCACAAGCTCGAGTTGAGTGAGGAAAGAAAAATACATGGTAAACTAGAATAGTTGCGATTAGAGAAATGGTCAATTTGTTTGCTATGGATGCAGGTACCCTGACAGCCCAGTGCACAATATCCATTGACATATATAGTCCGGAACTTGACAAGCATCCCATGAACTGCTAAGCACCCTCTTTTTCTTTGAAAGTCCAAAGAAGAGGAAACAAATGGATCAATCTTTCTGAGTATAAGCAATAGCTGCTCTGCTCGGCTCCTGCCATCTTCTCCACTATTTGAGAAAATTGTACCCAAATGAATTTAAATGACATAAGGTATAAATGTATAATGCAGTCTACAATTAAAAAAGAAGGATCCAAGTTAAGCTGTTAAGGTCAACATAGCAACGAGAGACTTACCTTGTGACCAGTATCGTGCATAAAAGTGTTATAAGATTGTCTATAAGGGGATTAATAACATCAGAGGGGTCATTTGGTAGACCAAAAAAACCAATAGTGGCCTGTCAAATTAATAAAAAAAATTGAATACACATCTTCACAGCATTTTTATCCTTCATACTTCATAAAAAGTAAGCAAGCAAGACTTCGACGTAGAGTTTTCAATGAGCTGCACCTTCATAATAACATTTCTTGTTTCAGGAGTCAGTTTTGGCTCCACAGAAACTAGCGTAGTGCACGCAATCAAAGCAAGGGACTGCACCAAAATTTCCGCATTCCCAAATTTTGGGTGCAAAAAAAAGTAGAAAATGATTTAATTAAATAAACTTTATAAGGATCAGACAAAAACTTTCAACAAATAAATGTAATGTGATTTAAAACCTTTTATTGTCCAAAACTGTATATATAATACACACACCTGGGTGTGCAAGAGCTCAATGTCAGAATAAGAAAATCCATCCTCCTCGTCTCGGCCCATTAGAGTTAATATATAGTCAAGTAATAAGTCTCTTCTTTTCAATGGGAAAGATATACCACTTTCAGCTGCACCAATCACAGCCTGACCTGCATTTTTGTTGATAAAAACGATACCAATTTATGAAACACTCAAACATGATCACCAAAACAACATATAGACAGGTAGACAATAAGCTACCAGTTCAAATAGACAGGTATACAACTGTTGAAGTATTTGTCCCACACCGGAAAGCTATAAAATAATAAAACACTATATAAGGCTTTGGGCTACTCCTCCTATAAGGTTGACCTTTTAGAATGAAACCCCAAGTCTTAACATGATATCAGAGCCAATTCCGATAGTGGTTTGACTGCTTGTTTAGCACACATGATTCCGGGTAGCTTGTTAAGGGTCTGTTTGGCCCATTTATACACCTCAATATTGTCCAGCCCGATTCGGGCTGAGGGGGCGTGTTGAAGTATTTGTCCCACACCGGAAAGCTATAAAATAATAAAACACTATATAAGGCTTTAGGCTACTCCTCCTATCAGGTTGACCTTTTAGGATGGAACCCTAAGTCTTAACAACAACATATACTTGTGCGTGTGCATGCATGTCCTTGTGTTCATAAATAGACAAACCAATCTTTAATTTATTGACAATTGTGAATATGCAGGTTTTGACTTTTAACAGAAAAATATGAATAAACTATTCATTTGAAGGTAGTTTTTTTTTGCAGAAGTAGTCAATATACCAAAAGTCCAAATCACAGCGCGCAGGTTAATAACAAACCCTCATACAGGATTGAATCACTTAATCAAGAACATAAGGCTAAAATATACTCTGTACATAACTTCCCAAGATGATGAAAGATGATTAAGCAAACAACCAACTTCTAATTCAAAACTGCTGTAGATCATTTTCTTCATAAAACAAGGATAAACAGAAGATGACTACATATATTCAATAAATAAATAAATTCATAAACCCATCAAGTAAAAATATTATCCAGTAATCCCAATCCTTGGACTGCAAACATTAAAAAAACATTTGTGTTTGTTAATGAAGAATGACAACTAGACTAGTTTAAGGTATAGTTGAGATTGAAAATTAATGATTTTGACTTTTGAAAAGCAATGGCAACTCTCAATGTTCAAATAAAAATCCCTTTATCACCTTTCATTTACATCAACAACAACATCCAAGCCTTATTCCCAAAAGATTTTGGGGTCCGCTAACATGAATCAATCCATGATATCGGAGCCACAAAGGAACAAAATATAAGGAAAATAAAAAGATAAAGTAAGATAAAAAGGATAAGATAAAGATAAATATAAGATAAAAGTACATAAGAAAGATCATCATCATCATCATTGCCCCAGTGCTGCAAAGGCTCCCACCTACGGTGGGGTAAGGGGGCCGGATGTACGCAGTCTTACCCCTGTACTAAAAGCACAGAGAGACTGTTTCCGGATGACCCATACTGAACATCGCGTCCAAAATTGCTTGGACTGAACGCTGCTTCATAACAAAGAAGCGCAGACAGTTTAGTGAGTCATTTTGCTTTATTCCATCATATTCTCAAGCCAAAAAATAGTCAGTCTTTGGCTCCATTGCAAATGATGGAAAAAAAGTACATAAGAAAGATACAACAACAATATCCAAGCCTTATTCCCAAAAGATTTTGGGGTCACCTAACATGAATTGATCCAGGATATCATAGCCAAAAAGAGAAGAAAGATACGAAAAAAAAAAGATAAGGTAAGATAGAATGGATAAATAAAAGTAAATATAAGATAAAAATAACATAAGAACATAAGAAAGATAAAAGATAAGAAGATAAAAGAACATAAGAAAGATAAAAGATTTAAATAACATAAGAACATAGAAAGATAAAGAAGATAAAAGATAAAATAAAAAAGAGAGAGAGAAAAGAGAGAAAACAGATCTATCGTCCACACGAATATGCGTCCTCCACTTTGCTCTCTCCAAAGAACATAAGAAAGATAAAAGATAAAAAATAACATAAGAACATAGTAACATAAGAACATAAGAAAGATAAAGAAGATAAAAGGATAAAAGAAAAAGAGCCAATCTTCCACACGAATTTTCGCTCTCCATTTTGCTCTCAAATAAACCTGCCTCTAGACCATGAATTATACTACCTCCGTCACATAAAATAAGTCACACTTCAATTTGGATCGGAGTTTAAGAAAGTGAGAATAAAGTGGAAATGTATGGTTGTGGTTGAGTAAGAAAAAGGTAAATGAATGTTAGCAACACAAAACTTTCCAAAAAGGGAAATGGGAACGATTTTTTGGGACGGCCCAAAAAGGAAAGTGGGACTTATTTTATGGGACGGAGGGAGTATATTGCAGGCACTAATTAAATTGATGGAAGAGGTTGGTTAGAAATCCAATACAATCATCAGTCCTCTCAAAAGCTTTATTCACCCAAACATCACACTAATCCATTCAAAAACCGAGAACAGCACATCTCATCTACTATAACTTCAAGGACTAATGAAACATAAACGGACAGTTTTCCAACTTCAAAAAAATCACAAAAAACGGACACTTTCACCAATTGAAAACCCAATAAGGTGGTGTGAGGCACATCATACCACAAATTATATCAAAGGACGAACTAAATTGTGGTAATTACTACTACTGAGTAAAGAAGGTCTTGATATGCCTTGAATCTGATAACCTCTTGCTTGCAGAAGTATGGGGTCTCACAGTCCGGTCAGCGAGTCGAGCAGTAGGGTATGCATCGCCCCCCTGGCTTGGAGTCCGAGGAGCGGAGACTCTTGCTATCGACCAATACTTAACAACTCCCACGTCCCTACGTTATGTAGTAATTTCTGATGAGTTATTTGGGCCAAGCACGCCTAGGGTTACTCATAGCACTATATATACCCTATTCGTGAATCATTTTATTATATTCTGCAAGTCTGTAAACCTGTGATTCCTCAAAAAAAATCTGATCTCTTGCTTCTGGATGTAGGCAACACAATGTTCGTAACCACGTTAAATTCATGTCTCTTCCTTTACATTTTTCATTTTCTTTGGTTGTGTGATAATCCGTCATAACGGATGGGCTTAAAATTTATGTCGTGGTAATGAGGCCAGGTAGACCGTTGGCTCATGGGTCATGAAAATTGATATTGACATCCAAGCAGAACCTCAAGTTCCTAAAGAAACGAACATTGCATAATCCTATAACAAAGCCAGCATTGCTATCTAATCTCTATTGGGATGAGGCTTGGCAGTTTATATGGTAGGAAAGGAGTAAACAGTTGTTTGCAGCCTTCTGATTTATATAATTTTTATATATTTTGATTCACTGCCAAAACAGATAAATTCCATATATGTTAATCCTTGCACGATGAAGACAAGTACTTTCAAATTTAAAAAAGAAATGGGGATAGATGAAACAGGATACAACTTTCTTGATATTTTAGGAATGTATTTATTGAAGCATGTGTGGGCTAATTTAAATATACATGTAAGAAATGTGCATGGTCAATAACAGAATACTATAAATAAACAGATAAGAGCTTGCAAGTGTTTCTATATACCTAGTAAGTCAATAGCAGTGATAACAGCCTGCTTGGCTCGGGGATGGCGTACATGAAGTAGTCGTGAAAGCATATTAGTTCCCTGTTATCAATGCAACAATCATATTGCGTGAAAACAAACAAGGCTAACACTTGAAGAACTGAATTTATTTCTTAAGAGTAAATACTGAAATTTTCTGACTTTATTATTGATAGAACACACTTTTACATGAAGTACAACAATATATTTATAGAAAACTAGTCCTAAGAAGTGTCTGTTCAGTACCCTAAGTGACTGTCCAGATACTGAAAAATAAATGAATATAAACTGATTAGACAAGTATTAATTACAACCTGAACATGCACTAAAGACTCACTAAAGACTCATTATTACAGAAAAGGAATATTCTGTTTCTCAACGGATGCATCAACAAATAAAATAGCTAATTACAATTTAAAGGCCTCGACTAACTTAATAAAGGAAAAAATAATTATGTATACGATCTACTAATTAATACAAATCCCCTACTTCATTCTAGAAAATCAGATTATGATTAGAACAAAGCACATAATAATCAACTAAATATTATGATTATCTCTACACTCCCCCTCAAGCTGGTGAATGGATATCTATCATTCCCGGCTTGCAAGTAAGTTCTCGAAATCGCTGTACTGGAAGCCCTTTGGTGAGCACATCAGCCAACTGAAGCCCCGAAGGAATCATGGGACTATTGATCGGCTTTGATCCCAATTTCCCTGTTTCAACTAGCAAATCAAGTACATATTTTCGTTGAGATAGAAATATGTCTTTCTTACTCCGTGTTACCTCAATAGTCAATACCCAAAAAGTATTTCAATGAGCCTAAAACTTTTGTCTCTTATGGGCTATAAAAACAATCTTAAGGGCCAAAATACCCGCATTATCACTTCCTGTAATCATCATATCATTGAGATACACCACAAGCGATGTGATACCTATTTTCGTTCATCTGTAAAAGACAGAGTGATCCGATTTGCCTTTTATCATTCCAAATTGTTCAATTGATTGATTGAATTTCTCAAAACATGCACGAGGACTCTGTTTCATATCATAAAGAGACTTGTGAAGTCAACAAACTTTACCACACCCCCCCCGAGCAACAAATCCCGGAGGTTGCTCGATATAAACTTCTTCCTGAATGTCACCATGCAAGAATGCATTTTTAATGTCCAACTGATGTAAGTGTCAATCATGAGTTGCAGCGAGTGAAATAAGTATAACCTGACAGATGTTAATTTAGAAACAGGAGAAAAACTGTCAAAATAATTAACGCCATAGGTTTGAGCATAACTCTTCACAACTAATCGGGCTTTCAACCGAACAACGAATCTATCTGGGTTAACCTTAACAGCAAAGACCCACTTACATCCAACAGACTTCTTCCCTGTAGGTAAGTCTACCAAATCCCAAAGTACCATTAAGATCCACAACATTCATTTCCTCTACCGTGGCATGACGTCATTCAGGATGAGACAAAACTTTTTTAATAGATTTGGGAAAAGAAATAGAATCAAGGGAAGCAATAAAAGAACATGAGAGGGGATAACTGACTATATGACACAAATGCAAAAATAGAATGGGTACAAGACTTTCATGCACCTGGTAGAAAGAATGAGAGAAGTAAAGTATACCTGGTAGAAGACTTTCGAACAAGTTTAAGGCGAAGAGTTCCAATCAAATCTCTGACCAGAACAGAAGTATCACGCACCGGCGTGTGCGGTTGGTATGAGTACTTCTGGAGGACGTGTCACTCAGGGAAATTGGGAGCAAAGCCAAGCACAACTCTCATGGTTCCCAATATGCAACTCACTCAAGAAGGCATGTCATTCGAAGACCCACAGAAGATTGGTTGGAAAACTTAATTATCTCGCAGTCACTCATCCAGATATTGCTTACTCTGTGAGCGTGGTGAGTCAATATATGTCATCTCCGACCATTGATCATTGGGCTGTTGTAGAACATATATTATGTTACTTGAAGGGAGCACCAGGACGGGGGATTGTCTATCAAAATCATGATAACATGAGAATAGAATGTTTTGCAGATGCTGACTGGGCCGGATCTAAAGATGATCGAAGATCTACCTCGGGGTATTGTGTCTTTGTTGGAGGTAACCTAGTATCCTATGGAAGAGTAAGAAACAGAGTGTGGTTTCCTGTTCGAGTGTTGAACTGGAATATGGAGCTATTGCGCAATCTGCATTTGAGATCATATGGATAGACCATTTATTGAGTGAAATCGGATTGAAGACACCAATGCCTGCTAAATTGTGGTGTGATAATCAAGTTGTCATACACATTGCCAACAACCCAGTATTTCATGGGAGAACAAAGCATATTGAGGTTGATTGCCATTTGATTCAAGATGTGAAAGTATTATTGTATCTAGGAATATGCTTTAGGAATATGCTCTAGAATATGCTTTAGGAATATACTCTAGACATTATTATTGTATAGCATCTTATATAGGAATATTCCATCTTTGTAATATATATATATAGGGCCTTAACCCTCTAATGAAATACACAGAAAATCCTTCTCTCCATTTTAATATCATTTCAGTTTCTATTTCAACATGGTATCAGAGCCATCCATTTGAGTTTATTTTTCAGATTTCATTTTAGTTTTCAGACTCAGTTCTTTCTCCCAGAACCTGAGTTCAGTTCAGAACCTCTAGGTACTATTCTGTCTCCCAGAAACTCAGTGCAACACAGAACCTCTCTACACACCATCACCATTAAACAGAACCTCTCTTCAGACCCTTAGTTCAAGCAAATTCAGAATCTCAGTATCACGCAAACTACATCATTCAGAATCTGCCAGGTCCGACCATCTTCCCGGCGGATTTCTGACAAGACCATCCCTGCCGTCTCTGACCAGGGTTTGAAGTTCGCAACTCCAAATCGACGCCCATCAGCCACACGGCCTTTGGAAGCACTCACTACATCCGCAGTGATACTTCTTTTCTGGTTTTCTTCTCTCGCTCTTTCTCAAGGGAGGGAATCCGACGGATATTTGTGTGGGCTGGAGGAAATTTGTTGGTCGGTAGCATCTCGTTAACGCATCTGATTGTTGAAGAATGGATATCTGTTAGCACATGTGTTTTCTTCCCAAGTAAAAGACGAAGCTTGGAGAGTCCGTAAGAGTAAGGCCCAGTTGATTGCTTATTAACATTTTCAGCCCACAAATGAGAAGGCTGCTAGGAGTAATATGCAATTACTGTAAGAAGCCCGGACACTTGATCAAAGAATGTAGAAAATTGCTGTTCAAAAATCAAGGAAATCAGCTTGCTCATGTTGCTTCCGCTGCCAGTTCATCCGATGGATCAATTGCTATTTCTTCAGACGAGTATGCCAAATTTATTTGCTACCAAGAATCTCTAAAGCATTCCTCTGTCCCTATCTCGGTAACCACTAATTCAGGTATTTCAAACACGTGTCTTGTTTCCTCATCCTCGAAATGGGTCATTGACTCAGGTGCCACAGATCATATGACCGGTAATCCTAGTCTATTCTCGTCATTTCATTCATATTTACCTACTTCTAGTGTCACTTTAGCTGATGGATCTACCTCACCCGTTCTTGGATCTGGTACTATTGTTCCAACTTCTACATTACCATTATCGCCTGTTTTGAGTCTTCCTAATTTTGCATTTAATCTGCTTTCCATCAGTAAAATCACTCGTACTCTTAACTGTTCTGTAACATTTTTTCCGGGATATTGTGTGTTTCAGGATCTGTTAACGAAGCAGATTATTGGTAAAGGACATGAGTCAGCTGGTCTATATATTTTGGATACATCAATCACCAAAGGTATCTCTTGTCTTGGGGTTGGGACTTTGTTAGATGCTCATTACCGATTAGGACATCCATCTCTCCCATTAATGAAGCAAATAAATCCCCAATTTAATAAGATGACCTCTTTACAATGTGAGTCATGTCAATTTGCGAAACACCATCGTACTAGCTTAGGCCCGCGAGTTAATAAACGAGCAAATGCTCCATTTGACCTTGTTCACTCTGATGTTTGGGGTGCTTGCCCGGTTGTGTCTAAAGCTGGTTTTAAATATTTTGTTACCTTTGTTGATGACTATTCTCGTATGACATGGCTGTATTTCATGAAACGTCGATCTGAGTTGTTCACTCATTTCTCTTCCTTTTGTGCTGAAATTAAAACTCAGTTTAACGTTCCTGTTCGGGTGTTAAGAGGAGACAATGCCCAAGAATATCTATCTGCTACATTTAAGTCATTTATGCTTCAACATGGCATTATTCATCAAACTTCATGCGTTGATACACCTCCTCAAAATGGAGTTGCGGAACGAAAGAACCGACATCTCTTAGAAACTGCAAGGGCTCTTCTATTCCAAATGAATGTGCCTAAACAGTTTTGGGCAGATGCCGTGTCTACTGCATGTTTTTTGATAAATCGAATGTCATCTTCTGTTTTGAATGGTAAAGCTCCTTATCATTGTCTATTTCCAAACAGAGAGCTTTTTCCTATCCCACCTAAAATATTTGGTTGCACTTGTTTTGTTAGAGATGTTAATCCTCATCTAACAAAGTTAGATCCGAAATCTTTAAAATGTATTTTCTTGGGTTATTCTCGAGTCCAAAAGGGGTATAGATGTTTTTGTCCGAGTACTGGTCGGTATCTTGTTTCTATTGATGCATCATTTCATGAAAATACACCTTTTTCATCATCCAAGGCAGATATTCGTGAGAGTAATGATGATATTCTCATTTACACGATGACTATTCCCGAGTCCACACTTTCGACAAATATTCCACAAGTTACTGTTCATGACCCTAGGCCTCCCGTACATTTGGTATACACCCGTCGACACAAAGCACCTGATCACCCTCCACCGGCGATACCTGTGATTACTTTTCCTGATACTAGTTCGACTCCGATCTCATGTCCTGAACCAGTATCTGCATCTTCAGATCTTGATTCCACATCAGATCTTGATCTCCCAATAGCAGTACGTAAAGGTACACGGTCTTGTACTCATCCTATTTCTTCATTTGTGTCGTACAATCAGTTATCTCCTGCTTCATGTTCTTTTATTGCTTCCATTGATTCTATTTCTATTCCCAAATCTGTCAAAGAAGCTTTGTCTCATCCTGAATGGCGTCAGGCCAGGGTAGAGGAAATGAATGCTTTAGATCTTAATGGTACATGGGATTTGGTTGACTTACCTACAGGGAAGAAATCTATTGGATGTAAGTGGGTCTTTGCTGTTAAGGTTAACCCAGACGGATCTGTTGCTCGGTTAAAAGCCCGATTAGTTGCGAAGGGTTATGCTCAAACCTATGGTGTTGATTATTCTGACACTTTTTCTCCTGTTGCTAAATTAACATCTGTCAGGTTACTTATCTCACTCGCTGCAATTCATGATTGGCACTTACATCAGTTGGACATTAAAAATGCATTTTTGCATGGTGACCTTAAGGAAGAAGTCTATATTGAGCAACCCCCGGGATTTGTTGCTCAGGGGGAGTATGGTAAAGTTTGTCGACTTCACAAATCTCTCTATGGTCTGAAACAGAGTCCTCGTGCATGGTTTGGGAAATTCAGTCAATCAATTGAACAATTTGGAATGATAAAAGGCAAATCAGACCACTCTGTCTTTTACAAACAAATAGAATCAGGTGTCACATTGCTTGTGGTATATGTTGATGATATTGTGATTACAGGGAGTGATAATGCAGGTATTTTGGCCCTTAAGAATTTTCTGCATAGTCAATTCCAGACGAAAGATCTTGGCTCTTTGAAATACTTTCTGGGAATTGAGGTAACACGAAGTAAGAAAGGCATATTTCTATCTCAACGTAAATATGTACTTGACTTACTAGCTGAGACAGGGAAATTAGGGGCAAAACCAAGTACAACACCCATGGTTCCCAACGTGCAACTCACTCAAGAAGGCACACCGTTTGAAGACCCAGAAAGATATAGAAGACTGGTTGGAAAGCTTAATTATCTCGCAGTCACCCGTCCAGATATTGCTTATTCTGTGAGTGTAATGAGTCAATACATGTCACCTCCGACCATTGATCATTGGGCTGCTGTAGAACACATATTATGTTACTTAAAGGGAGCACCAGGACGAGGTATTGTTTATCAAAACCATGATCACATGAGAATAGAATGCTTCGCAGATGCTGATTGGGTCGGTTCTAAAGATGATCGAAGATCTACATCTGGCTATTGTGTCTTTGTTGGTGGTAATCTTGTATCCTAGAAGAGTAAGAAACAGAATGTGGTTTCTCGTTCTAGTGCTGAATCAGAATATCGAGCTATGGCACAATCCGCATGTGAGATAATATGGATACACCATTTATTGAATGAAATTGGATTGAAGACACCAATGCCTGCTCAGTTGTGGTGCGATAACCAAGCTGCTATACACATAGCAAACAACCCCGTATTTCACGAGAGAACAAAGCATATTGAGGTTGATTGCCATTTTATTCGAGAGAAGATACAAAAAGGATTAATCTCTACCGGGTATGTGAAGACTGGAGAACAACTTGGAGATTTATTCACTAAAGCTCTAAATGGGATTCGAGTTGATTACTTATGTAACAAGTTGAGCATGATAAATATCTATGCTCCAACTTGAGGGGGAGTGTGAAAGTATTATTGTATCTAGGAATATGCTTTAGGAATATGCTCTAGAATATGCTTTAGGAATATACTCTAGACATTATTATTGTATAGCATCTTATATAGGAATATTCCATCTTTGTAATATATATATATATATAGGGCCTTAACCCTCTAATGAAATACACAGAAAATCCTTCTCTCCATTTTAATATCATTTCAGTTTCTATTTCAACACAAGAGAAGATACAAAAAGGATTGATCTCTACGGGATATGTGAAGTCTGGAGAACAACTTGGAGATTTTTTAACTAAAGCACTAAATGGGATCTGAGTTGGTTATTTATGTAACAAGTTGGGCATGATAAATATCTATGCTCCAACTTGAGGGGGAGTGCGAAAGTATATAGAATATACTTTGGAATATTAAAATATTTTACTTTAGGATATTATTATTGTATAGAATCTTATATAGGAATATTCTATTTGTAATGTATATTTACAGGGGCTTACACAACTAATGAAATACACAGAAAATCCTTTCCTCTCCAATATTATTTCTTAGTTTATAAGCTCTATTTCAACAGGTTGAAAACGTAACAAAACATAATGAGTGTGAATATATTCGGTTCGTTAAATTAAGAGTTCTTACTTAGAGGAGAGGGTGTTAGGGACTCATGAAAAAAGAAGATTTAAGTTTGATTACCGCTTCTATGTGACACGCACTGACACACCCACCCACCCACACCCAGACAATAGATTGGTAGTAAAATCATACACACCACAAGTGCATCAATTCTGGCTTCAATAACATTTGGTGGAGCATATTTAGCAGCATATCCATACATCAGTGCTAATGCAGCATGGGTATCATCTGATTCTTCCATTTTTGCTCTATCCGAAAAAATAGAAAGAATTCTGCAATGAAAAAATTATTAAATCAGTAACTTTTTATGAACTCTACTTTTGCCCCTCAAAGATACTACATATGGCTACATCTATAGTTAGAAGACTGGACCATAAGTGTAACGATCCCTAACTTCTATATTGCATCAGTAGTTAAGGATAACTCTAAGATTATTATTTTAGTTCTTTTAAATAATGACAGATTCAGAGCTCATAATCAGAGAAGGATATTTGAATGTCAACTTTAAAAATCATCAATTAATATCAATAAAGTATAGACACAGTACTAATATATTTAAATGTAAAACAGTTGCATTCCCACAAAGGAAACATGTCAAAGAGAAAATACTGGTAGACTCCAACAAGGATTTGAGGATCAAAATTGGGTTCATACATAACCAGTAGCTCTGCATAAAAAACTGCTAGCATATATTTATGACAAAAATAAGACTTCAGCTTTTGATTAGACAAAAGCGGGACAGATTCTCATTTAAGACAAAGAAGTGACTAAAATAATATCAAACGTCTTGTAAATTATATGAACTGATTTTATTAATATAAATCTTGATGCAAAAGAACTATACAAGTTAAAGCTAAAACTAGAGTATTGGGGTTTCTAAACAACTTGGGCTAAGCCCAATACAATATAATCAGAGTTCAAGACTCCCCTCAAGTTGAGCATATAAATTATATGCACCAAGCTTGTTAAAAATATATTCCATCCTAGGACCTCTAAGAGACTTGGTTAAAACATCCAAGTTGATTTTTTTTTGACATAATCTGTTGTAATATGTCCATTTGTGATCTTTGGATAGAGTGACAATCAACCTCAATGTATCTAGTCCTCTCATGATATACTGGATTTGAAGCAATTTGCATTGCGGCTTGATTATCACACATTGGCTTGAAAGGTTTCATGCTTCCATATTTTTTTTCTTGGAGGAGATGCTTCAACCATAACATTTCACATAAAGCAAGGGTCATTGCACAGCATTCTGCTTCAGCACTAGATCAGGCAACTACATCGTGTTTCTTACTCATCCAAGAATTTAAATTCCCCCCAATCAAGATGCAATATTCAGAAGTAGAACATCTATCCATCAGACGTCCAGTCTGCAGTTTACTTGATGCATCTCAAAACTCAGATAGCTGCATCTCAATGTCCATTACATGGCTTATCAAGAAATTGACTAAACACATTTACAAGAAATGAAATATTGGGCCTCGTGATGGTAAGATAATTCAACATTCCAATAAACCTTCTATATCTCTCTATACACTGCCCCACTGATCTTCTTCCTCTGTTTTGATTTCTAGGGTTTGCGTGTCACTGGCCGAAACGGTAGTGGTCAATGGATAAGGTGGATGTGGTCATTGGCTGGGCTGCGTCATCACTGGCCTAATGCGGTGGTGGTCACTGGACAAGGTGGAGGTGGTCACTGGTGGGGCGGCAGTGTCACTAAGCGAGGGCAGCGGTCTAACTAGAGCAATTGAGGCGACAAGGGTCACTGGGTTGTCGGGGTCACTGGATATTTGAGGTCACCGGGGTACGGGTAGGTCACTGGTGGCGAGTCACTTGGTGGCAGGGTATAAATGCCATATTCGCTATTTTTAGTCTCTTTTTTGGAAAGTTCTAATACTAGTCCTATATTTATCCATAGCTTTTCCTCTAGTATTATTAATGTCAAAACCCCTATATTTATCTCATTAATATAATATGCATTGCAGCACTATGCTATGAAAAACAAATTTAAAGATATTGGAAACTGAGTATCACCTTTGTAAGATACTTTGGCCAACGTTGTCTAGAATGTCTTTTAGTTTATCTAGGACTGTATCCAAGTGTGAAGCTGCCACCTGCAACAAAATGGCAGCCATTTGTAAGGTTGTACACTGCAAATAGCTACTGTACACTGTAAAAATATTACTTAAATGTTGAATAAAACTATTATAGAAAACATGACTGTTTATGTGTAACTAATTACCAAGCCCATGGCTTTAGCTAGACCAAGCCTATTTGTAGGGACAGCAATATTGGCTTGCCTACACATCAGATTAATTTTAGCGCGGACATAAGTTCTATCATGAACTTTCTGCAGCAACACGCCAAGACACCTACATTAAAATGAAAAGGTCAATAAAACATGTAAACATAAAAAAAAACATAGTCTAAGATTACTCATTTGAATACATTATACATGCCAATTACATCAAGTATGCAATGCAAGACCTGATGCTAGGAATATAACTTGAACGGTAGTGGATACTTTCCAATACTCATTTTTGCAAGGATTTATGGTCTTAAATAAATTAACTGACACTTACAAATTTCATGCCACCGTCCCCAAGTAGTTAGGATTAAGGTATTGATGATGATGATGGAAGCAAAAAACATGGCAAAATACGAGTTAACATTCGTAATTACTATAAAGAAAAATGCTGGTTGCACACAATTTATACACAAATTCACATGGATTGATCTGATCTCACAACTTAACCTTGATATTAATTGCTACTTATTAGTTGGTTGACTTGCCAAGAGTTTATCATATAAGCCGTCAGTCAATATGTGAAAACATTTATATAAAAATTGGTGTGCACCTCAATTTTCTTATTATATAATTTTTACACTACATCACAAACTGTGGTTTTCCATCATTTGCAATGGAGCCAAAGACACTATTTTTTGGCTTGGGAATATGATGGAATAAAGCAAAATGACTCACTAAACTATCTGCGCTTCTTTATTATGAAGCAGCAATCAGTCCATGCAATTATCGACGCGATTCTCACTATGGGTCATCCGGAAACAGTCTCTCTATGCTTTAGTACAGGGGTAAGGCTGCGTACATCCGCCCACCCTTACCCCACCGTAGGTGGAAGCCTTTGCTGCACTGGGGTAATGAATTAATGATGATGATGACGATGATTACAAACTGAAATGGGACAATACACAGCCATACTCCATCTGGCAAGACTTGTCACACAAAGAATATAGAACAGTAAAATTACCGATGAAGCAATGCAGAGTGCTCATTGTCGAATTGATAAAGTTCATAATGCTTTGCAAATGTATTTCCAAGCAATAGCACCCAGTCAACCCCATGAATCACATCCAGAGATTCTGCAAGAAACTGTGAAGCACAAATGCAGAAAACCAAGAGCATAAATTATCATGTAACAATCAAATAATAATGAACTTACTTATCAAATTATTTACAAACAAATAAATTGTATACACTGATAATCATGTCATCCCAAGATTCTTGATATAGAGGATCCTGCTTTAGGTCTTCAGTATCACTCACATATGCTTTCATCTTTGGTATCTAGAGCTTATCATAAACGATAATCAATTAGGACGCAGAAGAATATTACTTTAACTGTATCCCGGAAGCAAACAAGAAATTCCATAAGAAGCTATTGATAGGTAAATAGGTAATAGTGTAGCCATAACAGTTTTAGTGAAACAAATAAAACTGCATCAGCCATTAAGGAGAAAAAGACAGAGAATTCGAAAAAGAAATATTCAGCATTTCCCAGCAATCAAGAACCACATTATGTGAGATTACTTTTAATTATATTTTTCTTTCACCATTATGCTGCCAATAGTAGAGTGAAAACATTGTCAGCTACCTAACCACTTGCGTAAAGAACATAGATGCCAGTTTAAAAATAAGCCGCTTACGTAGAACCTTGTAGAAACTCTATACCTCGTCTTGCCAAAAGGAGTTAATGTTCTTTGGGAACAGCGGTGCTAGGTACCACAGGACCTGCAGATACAAATAGTATCATAGTACTTGTAAAACAAAGTGCAGATGAAGCTCTTTCAGCATACCCTGATTTTGATTCTCAACATAGAAAAAAGATCATTTTCACCCTAGAGATATAACTTCAGTTACACCATACTGTTCTCAATCACATAATTGATCGGAAAGAAACAATCATTCAGATTCCCAACTTCTGATGAAAGTAAGAAATCATGCAATCATAGAATACTAGGCCTTCAAATAGACTTACAGTCAAGATTTGAGTGGCCAACTGCTCTCTTGCCAGAGGATCATGCAGAAGTACCACTAATCGAGCAAAAAGTTCCTGAATAGGAAGTACATGACAGATCCAGTCATTCGTAATTCCAAGGTTCAAACTATGAGGCACAAATGCACAGCCCCAAAAATATACGTTGATTAAAGAGATGCTTGCCTCAGGTTGCGGAATATCAGTGCGAGCCTTGCACTCTGAAACCATCATGTTACTTCCTGAGGATCTGCGCCTGCACAACTCTGAAATGCATCGACAGACCTGTAAATGACTACTCATGAGTGCTAGGGGAAAATCAAAATCTCTATATTCTTATATTTCCATTCGGAATCAAAATCTCTTTCATTCCGTGGTATAAACTCGCATACTGAAATTGTACATTTAGATGAAAACCTTTCTGCACAACATGAACCAAATTCAGGAAGAAGCATATTTGAGAGTAAGAGTTTGAAAATTGAGAACTATGAAAAATTGAATGCTTATAAGTTTTTCCTACAAATCGCTCCTCACAGTACTACAAAGTTGTCATGAACATTGGAGATGCATCTTACAGTTACAACTGCACCAGTGTAAACTCGTGGTATAATCACTTTCAACAAAAATGGCCAGAGAACATGCTGCAATTAAAAATTAAAAATTCAGCTATTAACATTCCAGACTTGTTGATAAAACGAAGAGACATCATTAATCTAGGATTTATTTTCCTTATTATTACTGTAATTTTTCCATCATTTGCAATGGAGCCAAAGATTCAATATTTTTTGGCTTGAGATTATGATGGAATAAAGCAAAATGACTCACTAAACTGTCTGCGCTTCTTTGTTATGGAGCAGCAGTCAGTCCATGCAATTTTGGACGCGATTTTCACTATGGGTCATCCGGAAACAGTCTCTCTGTGCTTTAGTACAGGGGTAAGACTGTGTACATCCGACCCCCCTTACCCCACCGTAGGTGGGAGCCTTTGCGGCACTGGGGTAAATGAAAATGAAAAAAAAAATTACTGTAATTATGTGTCTTTAGTGCTTCAGGTTGTATTTAATAGCTGTTGTTTTTTCAGTTCTCAATCATTTATGTTTAGTATTTAGACAGTCACCTAGGGTGCTGAATAGACTCTCTCAGAATTCCTATCTGTATAAATAGCTTATGTTCTTCTTGTAAATGAATTCATGGAAATAATATTCAGAAAACTTCATGGTATCAAAGCTAGGTTTCGTCTAAGCCTTTTTTGAGTCTATCGCCTCTCCAACGATCATTTTTTGGGTGTCTCTACCCTTCTCTCTCTTCAACTCCCAGTGGAGTCTCTTCATCAAGGGTTTTATCATGTCTAAATGTTAAGAACCTCCAGAATTCCAGAACAATTACAAGAAGAATTTTATTGAAGGAGATATCGATTACAGAGAAGAAACAGTTAACAAGGCCGAAGCCCCCAAAGCCGTAGCCCCAAAAGATCGAGATGTTCAGTCTCGTATCTTTCCCAGTCCCAAGACCAAATGTCTAAAAAACCTCCTTGACTTCTCCCAACTTATTCTATTTATACTACTCTAGCTATTACTCTTCTTATTTACTCTCATTCTACCGGGTCCCTAACATATCTCCCCCCCTAAACATCCACCTTGCCCTCAAGGTGGGTGATAGGAAACAGCCACACAATCTTCTGCTTCCTCTTCCTCTTTCTTGTTCCTCTTCCTTCCCAATATCTAACTGGTTGATGGACTAGGGACTTCAGTATGGAATCTTTTAAAATCACAGAACATTCAGTAGCAGAAAATGAATCTTCCTTTGGTTCAGTCACCTTCCCGTACTCCCTATCAAAAATTATTTCTTCATTTTTCTGCAGCTTCTCCTGATTTCTATGTTCTGAAACTGATATTGTACTGAATGCAAACTCCTTTTTGTACCTTCCAACTTCTTCCTCTTTCAGTTCTTGGCTTATCTCATTTGATAAGGAAGACGTAAAAGGTATTAACAAGCAAAGGTAAAGATATCCTATCCCATTCAAATGCACAATAGCAGAAGAAACAACTGGAGAATAGTCTTGATGATCCTTTGAAATATAAGGAGCAGAAAGTCCCTCTTCGACCTTGGTTTTCAAAATGGCTGTAATCATAGTAGACGAGTGCCTCCCAACAGTCAATTCCTTATTGTATATAGCTGTTTCCAAATCTTTATCATTCATAACAAGCCTGCTACCGCTCATAACCTTCATCCAAGTTAGTGAACCTTCATGTGAAATCAATGTAATAGTATCACCAGCAGCAGCAGATGATACAATACTTAGGCTTGTGATTAACTCGGCTAAACCACCATATACAATGCTTTTGATGATCTCAATTTTGTTCCCTTCTCTTGCATTGCCTCCTTGCTCCATTTCATGTATTTCGGTGGCTAAATGTGGCACATTAATTGATTCTGCAGAAGCAGTGGGCCCTTCTTCTACAGTTATAATGGTATCCTTACCTTTATCTTCATGAGCATCTGTTGAAATATCAAACTTAGTAAGACCTTCTGATCCTTTAAGTACAGAAACTGGTGATATCAGTGAGAGGACAGCTTCATCATCTGAACTTTTGTTTTGCACTTCCCTATCGCATAATTGGTCAGCTTGCTTCTTCCCCAAACTGAAAGACTGTGCATCAATGCATGAATTTTCTGGCCATTGGATAATCTGTCCTTGCTCCTCGGTTTCATCCTTCTTATTCATTTTCTTGATTACAACTTCCGTTGGCTCCATCTCAGTCTTATTTATTGACTGGTGCAATTCCTTCGCAGGTTGAGAAACTTGTGAACTCATCAATCCTGATAGTGAAAAATCTGGTGATTGCGAGTTGAGGATTTCTACTTGCAACAAATTTTTTGAATGGTAATGCGAAGAGCTATGAGAAGAGCGATGCGAATAGATATGCGAAGACCTCAATGACTCTGGTTTTGCTGTCTTCCGTGTCTTCTGCCGGTGTCTAGGTGGAAAATCCCTAATCAAATCTTCTTTTAAAGCCTCCCAACTATCTTCTCTCTTTTGAAAGTCCCACCATTGAAACCAGCCATCTGCAGCTTCCCCCATTGCCTTTGCTGCAATGTCTACTTTAAATCTTTCTGCAATAGCTTGGACTCGGAAATATCTTTCCATCCTCCCTATCCATGCGTACGCTTCAACCTTGTGGAGTAGAGGTAATTCCTCTGTCTTTGACCTAGCTCCGACTTCATCGCGAGTCTTCCACCCATCACCGCTAGTCTTCCGCGCTTCATCGCGATTCTTCCCCACCTTCTCTCTGTTTCGTTCCAATTTGCGCAAACCAGATGCGGACAGTTCTGACCATCGATGTTCTTCGCGTAAACCATAGCGCTTCTCCATGGTTCCAGGCGTCGATTGCTCTGAAGAAGACGGAGAAGATTCACTACTGTCCAATCTCTTGCTTCGCTTTGTTGTTTTGGACCTTCCGCTTGAGTGGCGTTCATTCCTCTGCAGAATTAATTCGCGTAACTCTTCGTTAGTGCGTCTGGCCCCTTCACAATTCTTCTCCCGCTCCATGTTCTCTCTGGAGTATGATTGCGTTGGACTGTCATGTCGTTTGTCGCGAGTTGAGGTTCTTGACCTTCCTCGCTCATGTCCGTCGTTCTGCTTTATCAACAGTGTGCGCAACTCAGCCATCTCATGCCGCAACTCTTTGCGATGATGTTCCAGCTCGCGTTCGAAACTGTCCAATTTTTCTTCCATCGTTCTACGCGTCGCAACCATGGACATGTGCCAGAAATGGTGCTCTGATACCAATGTTAAGAACCTCCAGAATTCCAGAACAATTACAAGAAGAATTTTATTGAAGGAGATATCGATTACAGAGAAGAAACAGTTAACAAGGCCGAAGCCCCCAAAGCCGTAGCCCCAAAAGATCGAGATGTTCAGTCTCGTATCTTTCCCAGTCCCAAGACCAAATGTCTAAAAAACCTCCTTGACTTCTCCCAGCTTATTCTATTTATACTACTCTAGCTATTACTCTTCTTATTTACTCTCATTCTACCGGGTCCCTAACACTAAAGAAGCCGAATCAGCCTCATGTAACCTTGATCACTCAACCATTGTTTCAGCTGCTGCTGCTGCCGCGTTTGCTCTTCGAAACCAGAAATTTGATCTCCCTTCTATCCCACCATCTTACCGTCTCAATGGCAGGAACTATCTTGGGTGGTCAAAGCTGGTTTACACTCTCCTACATGGAAAAGATCTTGAAGACTATCTCACTGTCTCTACCCCAGAATAAGGAGAGATTGATGCTGCTATTTGGGAGAAAACTAATGCCAATATACGGGTCTGGTTATGGGACTCTATGGATCCCAACATTAGCAGTACATGTTTATACATGGACTCGGCTAAAGAAATCTGGGATTTCATACAGCAGTCCTACTCTGTTGCTAAAGATGGCGCTTTTGTCTATGACTTATGGCTCAAAACAACGAATCTTAAGCAAGATTCACAATCTGCCACAGATTATGCAACTGACCTCCAACGACGATGGTCTGAACTTGACCAGTATCAAGCGATGAAGTGGTCGAATGCTGCAGATGCAGATCTTCACAAGAACTATATAAATCAGCAACGTCTATATTGCTTCTTGTCTGGTTTAAATCCCGAATATGATCAGACTCGGGGTCAAATTCTTGACATTACTCCTCTGCCTTCCATATCTTCTTCTGCCATTGCCACTATCAAACATGAAGAGAGTAGACGCAATATAATGATGAATACAAATCTGATTCACAGTACAGCTCTTGCTGCCAAATCTACTCCTTCAGATGTTAAGGAAACTAAGGATAGTAAGGGAGGAAGATGGTGTGATCATTGCAAGCGGTCCAACCATAATGTGGATACATGCTCGAAACTTTATCCTCATCTACAGAAAGAAAGAAAAAGCCAGGACAGACGTGGAACTAGTGCTGGACGTGTCAACTCAGTCACTCCCACTATTGTTGAGAGCTCTACTAATCTTTCGCCCATTTCCCAGGAGGAATTACAGCAACTTCGTATGATGTTACAGTCTCTTAATAACTCAAATGGTTCTGGTCATAGCTCTTTGGCCCTGCAAGGTAAAACCTCTACTATTTTTTGTCTTAATGTTTCGGAACAGAGTTCACAATCCCAATGGATATTAGACTCAGGTGCCACATCTCATATGACTGCCATACCCTATTTACTCTCTAATTATCATCCATGTTTTACATCCACACACATTACTACCGCTGATGAGACACCTACAAAGGTTGCGGGACTTGGTACGGTTGTTTTTTCTGAAAAATTAAATCTGAAAAACACCCTACATGTCCCAAACCTGGCTATGAACCTTGCTTCTATTTACAAACTCACAGTTGATCTTAATTGTGCTGCCATTTTTTTCCCTTCCCACTGTTTATTACAGGATCTACACACAGGGAGGACAATTGGAATTGCTAAACAAAGAGATGGCATGTACTACCTTGATGCACTGTTTGTCTCCAAACCTCCACAAAAAGCTCTTACCACAATCACAGTCAATACCAACACTATTTGGCTTCACCATAAGCGCCTTGGTCATCCCTCTTTTCATGTCCTAAAAACCATGCTTCCTAGTCTTTTTAGTAGTATTGATGTTTCTACATTTCAATGTGATGTCTGTGAACTTACTAAACAGTCTCGTGTATCTTTTTCTAGAAGTAATACAATCAGTTGTTCTCCTTTTGATATTATACATAGTGATGTCTGGGGTCCTGCTCCAATTGCTAATATATCTGGTGCCCGGTGGTATGTTACATTTATTGATGATTGTACACGTTTTATGTGGGTTTTTCTGCTAAAAAAGAAGAGTGAGGTGAGTTCCATCATTCCTATCTTTTGCAATATGATTCATAATCAGTTCTCCGCCACAATAAAACGTTTCTGCACTGATAATGCTCTTGAATACTTCAATCAAACTGTTTCCTCTTATTTCCTCTCAAAAGGCATTGTTCATGAGTCCTCTTGTCCGTACACACCACAACAGAATGGCACAGCAGAAAGAAAAAATCGCCATCTCCTAGAAGTCAGCCGGGCTTTATTGTTTCAATCAAATATGCCTAAACACTATTGGGGGGAAGCCACACTCACAACATGTCATCTCATCAATAAAATTCCCAGTCGGGTACTCCAAAATAAGTCACCCCTTGAATCTCTCCGTCACTTCTTTCCTCAAACCAGAATTTCTTCTGATCTTGATCTAAGGGTGTTTGGGTGTACTGCATTTGTTCATATTCCTCCACCTCATAGGGGAAAATTGGACCCATGATCTATTAAGTGTATCTTTCTTGGTTATTCTCCAACTCAGAAAGGATATAAGTGCTATAATCCTACAACCAGAAAGACATACACCAGTGCAGATGTGACCTTTCACGAAGACGCACCTTTTTACACTCGTACTTCTCTCCCTGTATCCCAAGATACTCCACATCCTTCACCTCTGCCCACCTATACTATTACATCTTCTCCACCACATACAATCTCCTACCCTCCTAAGCCTTTATCACCAGACATCCCATCACCACCACCACCACATGATCATCCATCACCTTCCTTAGATGTGTCAGCAACCTCACCTACTTCCCAACAGTCTTCAACATCACCTGAACCTCAATCAAATCCACCACCAGACCATCCCATTCCTACACTAACTAAATCCACCACTCATGACCCATCTTCTCCTCTACCAGTGACAAAAATGTACTCAAGGAAAAACAGGTTCACTCCATTGTTGACGCATGACCAATTGGCTGACCCAGGTAATGTCTCTTCTTCTCCACCACCATCTCCGCCAATTGCTTTACGCAAGGGTGTACGTCAATGTACCAAAACACCTCTATACCCTTTTGCTAATTTTGTTACCATTGATAACTTCTCTCCTTCACATGCCTTGTTTGTTCAGAGACTTAATGAAATTCCCATACCCAACTCTGTTTCTGAGGCATTAGGAAAGAAAGAATAGAGGGATGATATATGCAAGAGGAAATTAGAGCTCTTGAAAAGAACCATACTTGGGATATTGTGACTAAACCTCCTGGGAGGCATGTTGTTGGTTGCAGGTGGATCTTTACTGTCAAATACAAGGCTGATGGATCTCTTGAGCGGTACAAAGCTCGTCTTGTGGCTAAAGGATACACTCAGACGTATGGGATTGACTATCAAGAGACCTTTGCTCCTGTAGCTAAGCTCAATACTGTCCGTATCCTACTATCCTTGGCATCTCACTTTGATTGGCCTTTATTGCAATTTGATGTCAAGAATGCTTTTCTCCACGGTGACTTGCATGATGAGATCTACATGTACATTCCCCAGGCTTTAATAAAACATCAACAAGTACCTCTACACATGTATGTCATTTAAAAAAAGCCCTCTATGGTCTCAAGCAATCCCCTCGTGCTTGGTTTGACCGCTTCACACAGGTTGTTCTTGCTGCTGGGTATAGTCAAAGCCAAGGGGATCATACTCTTTTTTACAAACACTCTCGCCCAAATGGAGTCACTATTCTTTTAGTATATGTGGATGACATCATTGTGACGGGTAATGATCCAGTTGAGAAACAACGTCTTGAGGGGCAGCTGAAATCCAAATTCGAGATGAAGTCTCTTGGCCCTCTAAAATACTTTCTTGGAATTGAAGTTGCTCGCTCATCTGAAGGCATCTTTATCAGCCAACAAAAGTACATTACAGATTTGTTAAATGAGACTAGTAAGAGTGCTTGTCGACCGGTTAATGCACCTATGGATCCTAATCATAAGCTTGGACTTGCTACTGATGAACCCAAGGTTGATTCATCAGTGTATCAGCGCTTGTGTGGCAAACTTATCTATCTCTCTCATACTAGACCTGACATTGCCTATGCAGTTAGTGTTTTGAGTCAGTTCATGCATGATCCAAGGAAACCACATCTAGAAGCAGCCTATAGGGTTCTTCCCTACCTAAAAGGAAGTCCAGGGCAAGGGATAATATTCAGGAAGGGTGGGCAATTATCAGTCCAAGCCTTCACTGATGCAGATTATGGTGGCTCCCTCGTTGACCGCCGGTCAACTACTGGTCTCTGTGTTTTCCTAGCAGGAAACCTCGTGACATGGAGAAGCAAAAAACAGAATGTTGTGGCACGATCATCAGTTGAATCTGAGCTAAGAGCTCTTGCCCATGGCTTATGTGAACTTCTATGGATCAGAATTATTCTCTTAGATTTACGAATCAAGTGGAAAGGACCAATGGAATTGAGGTGTGATAACAAATCAGCAATCAACATAGCTCATAATCCAGTCCAACATGATCGGACCAAGCATATTGAGATTGATAGGCACTTTATCAAAGAAAAGGTTGAAGGAGGACTGATCGAACTAAGCTACACTCCCTCAGAAGATCAAGTTGCAGATGTGTTTACCAAACCTCTGCACAGTCCTAGGTTCCAGGGTCTTATTGTCAAGCTAGGCATGACAAATATCAACAAACCTAGCTTGAGGGGGAGTGTTGATAAAACGAAGAGACATCATTAATCTAGGATTTATTTTCCTTATTATTACTGTAATTATGTGTCTTTAGTGCTTCAGGTTGTATTTAATAGCTGCTGTTTTTTCAGTTCTCAATCATTTATGTTTAGTATTTAGACAGTCACCTAGGGTGCTGAACAGACTCTCTCTAAATAGCTTATGTACTTCTAGTAAATGAATTCATGGAAATAATATTCAGAAAACTTCAAGACTAGTAGAAGAAAAAACTTCAATAACAAGTATGTTTTAAAACACAACAATTAACGTAACAAAATATGTCAGAAGAAAAAACCGGTCACGCATAAATCCATAAATCCATTTGACATCTGGACCTCACTGAGAAAAAGAAAGGGCATAGAAATCAAAATGTACCTCCATTTCAGGAACGGTAATGGTAATTAGAAGAAGACCCTTTTCACAGATACCCCTTAGCTCTGTTGGAGTGACAGCACCAGAATTGAACTGAGTTGAACAGAAAGATCTTATCAATAAAGATGGATGCACATATCAATCAATTTTACGAAGCTGGAGAGATATTGCTACAACGTAATTATGTATAAAGAAATGAATTTGAAATCCTTTCAGAAGTAGTACAACCAAGAACACCATAACCATGAAATTATCCATGCATTAGAAGGTTGGTATAAACCTCCAGTTTTTTATTTTTAAAGAGGTTATAATTGCCAATGAACCTAGATGACTCCTTCGAACTTTCAAGTTCAACATTTTCCAGATCTGTCATTGCACAATGGCGTACAAGATATTCAATGAACAACTCTCCAGAGGAACCAACCAAGTAACAGTGAGAAGCCATGACAACAATCAACTGCAACCACAAAAATTCAAAATCAGTGTTGAGTTCAGTTGAAATATAGATGTGTGTTGCATTCCAAGGGGCTGTCAAGCCAACGTACAGCAGCCCTAGTTCAATCACACACACACACACATATATATATATAGATAGATAGATGTAGAAATATACATATATTCATATACTCCCTATGTCCCACAAAACTTTGCCAACTTTCCTTATTTAGCCATCCAAAAAACTTTGTTATTTCCATTTAAAGTAATAAATGTGTGACCAAACTTATTTCTCTCTCCTCTGCATAAATCTCAACCATACAGTTTTTACTTTATTATTCTATGTGCAAATCAACTTTGGGATAAATATGTAATAAATATGTGGGTTAAACTTATTTCTCTTTGCTCTGCATAAATCTCAACCATATACTTTTTATTTTATCATTCTACGTGTAGGTCAACTTTGGCTAAGTTTTGTGGGACGGAAGGAGTATCTATGTGGATATATACACACAGTCCACCCTTTGTTGTAGTTAATCGAGTGTGCTATCAAGAAACAAGAAATGTAATCCAAGCTTCAATTGTTGGACAACAAGTTTTTTATATTATCAAATCATTGAATGAAAATATATTAAAATTCCGGAACTACCAAACACATTGGTATTTGAAGATGAAGGGTACCTCTGCAAGAGCTTTGCGAACCCCTAAATCATTTTCATCTATTAAAAGCTTTACTGATTCTACCAAGGCGGGTCGTCTGGTGTGCCAAGCCTCAGCCAACCTTTTAAGAGAAATTGTGAAAAAGTTAGAATAGGAGGACCATATAGTACGCATGCACACATGCATCGTAGTCCCATGACCGTAGTGGCATCGCTACTGTTAAAGTAAATGGCTCACGCCGGAATGACATGAAATAATAATACTCCCTCCGTCCCTCAATACTTTGCCATGTTTGACGGGCACGGGAAATAATAAAGTAAAAACTGTGTGGTTGTGATATGTGCAGAGGAGAGAGAAATTAAAGGAACCACAAATTCATTGATTAAAAAGGAAAGTGGCAAAGTTTTTGGGACATCCAAAAAAGGAAAGATGTCAAAGTTATATGGGACGGAGATGTACACTATATAAGATTGAAAAGAATCAAGAGAAAAAGTAAAGAATCACAAGTAATATAAATTGATTTCGCAAAATTGACACATAAATCAGGAATAAACTTATGAAAACTCGGAGAAAGAGGTGCATTATCTCACGAATTACTTCTGAATAAATAAATCCACAACAACGTAATTCAAGCAGAGCCTACTTAGATGAAAATTATTAGAGGACCAGTAATGGTAATGCAAATAAAGTCATAATAACCTTTTAGGATGGAACTCTGGGTCTTAACATGGTATCAAAGCCAAATCTAGTTATGTTTTGACTACTTGTTTAACATTCATGATTATGGGTAGCTTGTTAAGGGGTTTTTTGGCCCATTTATACACCCCGATATTATCTAGCCCGGTTTGGGCTGAGGGGCGTGTTAAAGTAAATGTCTCACACCGGAATGGTATGAAAAAATAATATACTATATAAAATCTTGGGTTAGTCGTATAAGGTTAACCTTTTAGGATGGAACCTCAGGTCTTAACAGCTACATTTAGTCCCTAGCTTAAAATTTGCTCACATTTAGGCCTTACAACTATTATGGAAATTCCACAGTTAATCTACTAATTTAACTTGACCTGTTGACCGCACTTATTATGACTTTATTTGCATTGCCATTACTGGTCCTCTAATAATTTTCATCTAAGTAGGCTTTGCTTGAATTACGTTGTTGTGGATAATCTTTTGTGTGAATAATGTCTTCTATAGAGCATAACTTCCTGAAAAATTTGTTGATCTATTTATACACAATGTTTAACTCACAAAAACAGAAAAGATGTATAACACACTGACCATCTCTTTTCAAAAAATGAAGTTCTATTCCACAAAAGTGCATAGAGGGAATAATTTCCTCCAGGAAAATGTTATCCATCCTCAAATACTGGAATCAAGTCAGAGAGGAGTTATGGATTGTTAATTTGTGAGTGGTCTCTTAGTTTAGTAAATATAGATAAATATAGATATCATAGCAGAGGTCCCATTGTGGCCATGTCATAATAGTTGTAGAGCTGAATGCGGTCAAATTAATAGTCAATGACCAAAAGCACTATGTCATAATTACTGTAGGGCTAAGGTCAAAGAAAACATCAAAAACTAAGTGTGCAATGCTCTGTAGGGCTAACGTCAAAGAAAAAGTCAAGATCTTAGTGTGCAATGCTATAACTCATCATAGCCGTTAGACTAGAACAGGAATTTCCTCTGTGTATGTTTATGTCTATTTATAAAAATAAAAATTAAATATTATCTGAGCATACTGACAAAGAAAAGAACCTTGGCAATAGATGCTTTAAAACACAAAGGGAACCAAAAGTGAATGGTTCTTCTTTCAACCTGCATTTCTGGTGGCGGAAAACAAAGTTAAGTAGATGAGTAATTTCTAAAGTAAAAAAATAAAACTTGAAATAAACAATTGTGCAGTTACTCTTCTTTCATCATAAGGTGGCATAAAACTGAAGGAAAAAATAAATAACCGTGTTGTAAAGGCAATAGATGAGTGTGGCGAGATGAGCATGTTGTGTTAGATGTGTGGACATACTAGAAAAGACCACTTGAGGAATGAGACAATCAAACAAAAGGTGAGCATAACACCTATTGAAAATAAGAAGTGGAACTCTCGATTGTGGTAGTTTGGTCATGTGCGTTGAAAGAACGAGTAATGCACCTGTTAGACAAGTTGAGAGGGTGGAGAAGAAGTAGGGAGGAGAGAGAGAGAGCAAGACTCAAACAGACGTGGATTAGAGGCAAGAGGATTCCATAGTGATATCTTTCTTCTTGGTTTAGATGAGAGTATGACATTGGAGAGAGCAAAGTGGAGGACGAGGCTGGTATTTGTGATTCACCTTTTATCATCTTTTTTCCCATTATCTATCTATCTTATGTTTTTTATCCTTCTATCTTTGTTAATTTATAAATGCACACACACAAGTATATCATAGATCGATTCATGTTAGCCGACCCCAAATATGAGTGTGACTGAGATGCGCATGTTGTGTTGGATGTGTGGCCATACTCGAAAAAACCGTTTCAACAAATGAGACAATCAGACAAAAGGTGGGAGTAGCGCCTAGCCACTTATTGAAGATAAAATGTGAGTCTTTATTGTGCTAGTTTGGCCAAGTGCATAGAAGATCGAGTGATGCACTTGTTAGACGAGTTGAGAGGTGGGGAGAAAATGCGGGGAGGAAAGGAAGAGGAAGACCCAAACATACGAGGATTAGAGGAGTCGGGAGTGATGTGTTACTTTTTAGGTTTAGAGTATGACTTTGAAGAGAGTGAAGTGGAGGCATCCTATCTTTTCTATTTTCATCTTTCTTATGTTTATTATGTTGTTATCTTGTTTATCTTTATCTTATATTTTTTTATCTTTTTCTCTTTCTTTTTATCTTATCTTATCTTTTTAACATTTTAGCTCAAAGTTCGTAAGTCAATTCATGTTGGCCGACTCCAAACTCTTTGTTATTGCAATCATTTTTGTGTGCACCGCTTCACTCTATTATCTACTCATGGTATGATAGTATGGGTCCAAAAAATGCACAAAGGTTACAATAGACTTTGTCAAAATTGCAAATATGACTTCTTTTTTCTATTTCTCTAACAAACTAAGTTTTCATAAACTGGTAATTTAGAATATTCAAGTATTTATATATAAGTCTCGTGTATTCACCTCTCATAATACTAGTGATCATACACAATATTTTGTTCTCCATCCACTAACAGGACAGCGCAGTGCACAAAGGTATCCCACAAGCTGAGGGTCCAGGGAAGGATCCCACCACAAGGGTGTATAAGAATTAAGGAACCAGTCTTCCCCTAACAAATTTTGACAAGAGGCCGCTCCCGACTTGAACCCATGATTTCTTGATCACACAACACCTTAACCAGTGTAGTGGCCACAAAAATCTGAGAACTAGATAAATAAACTAATAATAGGATAGAAGTAGAAATTGACTACTTGTTAGTACGGACTACTTGGAGAACTAGTTACACTATATGTAAAGTCATCCCAGATGAGATTGTTTTCACTCTTATGCTTGTGTTTGATTTTCGAGGTAAGAAGCATAGAAGACGAGTTAAGAAATAAGTGGAGCCAAAGATGAAGTGGATGAAGTGGTGGAGGCTCGAGGGGATCTCGAACAAAGCTTTACATGCAAAATGTTTGGTGAATACGTATGGTGATGGTGTATTGATAATGACGCACATGTGGAGAATGTGTGGCTATCAATGGAGTTGACCATTAACAAAGTGGCAAAGGAGATACTTAGAGAATCTAAAGAATGTCTGTCACCAACAAAAGAGACATCTTAGTGGAATGGTGAGGTGAAACAAGCCATATTGAACAAAAAGGAATGCTACAAATAGTTGGGAAAAAGTTGGAGCAGTGAGAACATAGACGAGTCCAAGGAGGCTAAAAGACAAGCAAAGAAAGCCATAAAGGAAGCATGTGGGAAAGTGAACAAGGAGTTGTATATGCAATTGGACTCTAAGGAAGGAGAAAAGCCTTTCTCATCTTCGTGACTGTATGACTCAAGATATCGGAAAAGTCAAGTGCGAAGGATGTCGATCAAAGGGTATTAATGGAGGACAGTAAAACAAAAGAGAGGTGGAGGTCATACTTTGATGCCTTGTTCAACAGGAGTAAAGTGCAAGATATTCATAATCTGATTGTACCGGATTGTATGGTAAACCGGGATTTTGTAAGGAGGATCCGAACGGCAAAATGGCATATTGTTCAAGGTCTGGAGAAGTTTGGGAGAAAGAGGCGTCGAGTGGTTAACATGTTTCTTCAACAAGAACTGGAGAAACATCAAAATGCCAGCGAGTCAGCAGACGAGTACTCTTATTCCCTTATTTAAGAATAGGGACGATGTACAAGAATGTGCCAACTACCGAGGGATTAAGCTTATGAGTCCCACTATGAAACTTTGGGAGCGAGTGATTGAGCAAAAGCTCCGAAGAAGTGTAAATATTTCAGAGAATCAATTCAATTTATGTGTGGTCACTCAATAACTGAGATCATTCACCTTCTTAGGCAACTTTTGAAAAAGTATAGAGACACTAACAAGAATCTGCATTTGGTGCTCATTGACTTAGAAAAGGCATATGATAGGGTACCTCGAGAAATCCTTTGTTGATCCCTAACTAGAAAAGGCCGTAAGTATATCAACATCATCATGGATATGTATGAGGATTGTAGTACAAGTATTCGTACTAGTGTAAGGAGGATTGCAGAGTTCTCTAATACTACCGGAGTGCACCAATGATCGACTCTGAGTTTTTTCTTATTTGTTATAGTCATGGATGAACTTACGAAGTCAATTCAAGACAATATACCGTGGTGCATGATGTTTGCTGATAATATTGTATTGATTGATGAGACACAATCGGGTGTTAAAACAAAGTTGGAAGTATGGCGACAAACATTGGAGAACAAAGGTTTGAGACTGAGTCAAAGCAAGTTTGGTGGAGGTATAAGCAGTGGTAACAATGGGATTACCCTAGATGGTAAGAAGATACCAGTCAGTGATATGGTTCTAAGAAACAATACAGCATGCAACAAGGCCAAAAACAAGCCCAGGTGCTTACAGAGGCCCAGACCGTGGGTCGGCCGTACATGTTGAAAAACAGAGTAGCTAAAAGAAAACATAAGTTGCAGGGATAATTAATGTGTCAGCTTAAGTAGTGCAGATTGATTCGCAGACTACAATTATTAGTTATTACTATTATTCCTATGTCAATTTTTGGCAACTTCCTAATTATTATTTGTCTTCTTTTACAATTAGGACTCCTGAAGTAGCTTCTATATAAGAATCATTATTATTATTACCAATAAAGTACTTCGAGAAGAATTGGTTTTTTGTGTCTTGATTAAGTCAAACATCAAATTAATTCTCACCAGATAGGAAGATGGTGCCACAAGAGAGAGGTCTCAAGTTCAACTTCAAGCAATGACTTGGGATGGAACCTCACTCTTTTTCCATCAGAGTATGATCAAAGTTCAACTTACATTCTCTCAGATAATCGTCTGGTCGGTTATGGGGGGCCCTTAGGGATGAGGCATCATCCTTTTTTGGTATCAAATTCTTTTTTAGAGTTCTATATGAAGTGCACTTCAGGCGGTGGATGAAATGGAATAGTGCATCAAGATTTCTATACGATCGAGATATGCCGACTAGACTGAAGGGTAAATTTAATCATACAGCAATCACACCGATATTATTGTATGGCGTAGAGTGTTGGACAGTGAAACAATGTCATATTCAAAAGATGAGTGTGGCAGAGATGTGCATGTTGCGTTAGATGTGTGTACATTCTGGAAAATGTCACTCGAGGAATGAGGCAATCAGACAAAAGGTGGGAGTAGCACCTATTGAAGATAAGATGTGTAAGTCTCAATTGCGGTGGTTTGGTCATGTGCATAGAAGGCCGAGTGATGCACCTATTAGACGACTTGAAATATGTAGAGAAGAGGCGGGGAGGAGAGGGAGACCCAAAAAGACATGGATTAAAGGAATGATATGCTCCTTCATGGATTAGATGGAAGCATGGCTTTAGAGAGAGCAAAGTTATCTCTTATCGCCTTTTTTTTTCTTTATCTTCTTTATCTTTCTTATGTTTTTATCCTTTTATCTTTTTTATTTTATATATATATTCTTAGTTGGAGGAAGATGTAAGGTCTATTGATAATGACACACATGTGGATGATGTGTGGTTATCAATGGAGTCCACCATTAACAAAGTGGCGAAGGAGATACTCGGGGAATCTAAAGGATGTTTGCCACCAAAAAAGGACATGTCTTGGTGGAATGATGAGGTGAAACAAGCAATAAAGACCAAAAGGGAATGCTATAAGAAATTGGGCAAAAGTTGGAGCGACGAGAACATAGAGGAGTACAAAGAGGCTAGAAGAAGGGCAAAGAAAGCTGTGAAGGAATGCAGAGGAAAAGTGAACAAGGAATTGTATGTAAAGTTAGACTCTAAGGAAGGAGAAAAAGATATCTACAGACTTGCTCGCCTTCGTGACCGTATGACTCAAGATATCGGAAAAGTTAAGTGTGTGAAGGATGTCGATCAAAGGGTACTAATGGACGACGAAGAAATAAAAGAGAGGTGGGGGTCAAACTTTGATACCTTGTTCAACGGGAATAAAGTGCAAGGTATTGATGATCTTACTATACCACAGTGTATGGTAAATCGGGACTTCGTGAGAAGGATTCAAACAACAGAAGTTAAAGGAGGCTATGAGAAAAATGGGGCGGAAGAAAGCAGTATGCCCAGATGGCATACCTGTCGAGGCTTGGAGAAGTTTGGGAGAGAAAGGCATCGAGTGGCTAACACGTTTCTTCAACATGATTTGGAGAAATAACAAAATGTCAGTGAGTTGGCGGAAGAGTACTCTCATTCCCTTATTTAAAAATAAGGGTGATGTATAAGAATGTGCTAACTATCGAAGGATTAAGCTTATGAGTCACACCATGAAACTTTGGGAGCGAGTGGTTGAGCAAAGACTTCGTAAAAGTGTGAAAATTATGGAGAATCAATTTGGTTTTATGCCTGGACACTCAACAACCGAGGCCATTCACCTTCTTAGACAAGTTGTGGAGAAGTATAGAGACACTAAAAAGGATCTGCATTTGGTGTTCATTGACTTGGAAAAGGCATATGATAGGGTACCTCGAGAAGTTCTTTGGTAGGCCTTAACTAGAAAAGGCATATCACGTAAGTATATCAGTATCATCATGGATATGTATGATGTTTGTACTACAAGTGTTCGCACTAGTGTAGGGAGGACCGCAGAGTTCCTTATTACTATCGAAGAGCACCAAGGATCTGCTCTGAGTCCTTTCTTATTTGTTATAGTCATGGATGAACTTACGAAGTCAAATCAAGAAGATATACTGTGGTGCAAGATGTTTGCCGACGATACTGTATTGATTGATGAGACACAATCCAGTGTTAAAGGAAAGTTGGAAGTATGGCGACAAACATTGGAGACCACGGGTTTCAGACTGAGCCGAAGCAAGACTGAGTATATGAAGTGCAAGTTCGGTGGAGGTAGAAGTAGTAGCAACAGTGGGATTACTCTTGATGGTAAGGAGATATCGGTATGTGATATGTTCCGTTACTTGGGTTCCATAATTCAAAAGGGTGATGAATTAGATGGAGATGTATGCCATAGAATCAGAGCTGGGTGGATGAAATGGAAGAGTGCTTCAGGATTTCTATGCGATCAAGGTATGCCGACTAGTCTGAAAGGTAAATTTTATCGTACAGCAATTAGGTCGGCATTAATGTATGGGGTAGAGTGTTGGGCGGTGAAGTAATGCCGCATTCAAAAGATGAGTGTAGCAGAGATGCGTATGTTGCGTTGGATGTGTGGACATACCAGAAAAGACCGCTTCAGGAATGAGGTAATTAGACAAAAGGTGGAAGTAGCACCTATAGAAGATAAGATTCAGGAGTCTCGTTTGCGGTGGTTTGGGCATGTGCGTGGAAGACCGAATGATGCACCTGTTAGACGACTTGAGGGGTGGGGAGAAGAGGCAGAGAAGAGAGGGAGGGGAAGACCCAAACAGACTTGGATTAGAGGAATCAGAACTGATATGCATCTTCTTGGGTTGGATGAGAGTATGGCTTTGGAGAGAGCAAAGTGGAGGGCGCACATCCGTGTAGACGATTGATGTCTTTTCTACCTTTCCTCTCTTTTTTCTTTTATCGTTTATCTTCCTTATCTTTTTATATTTTTATGTTATTTTTATATTCTAGCTTTTTTATGCTCTTTTATTTTTTATCTTTTATCTTTCTTATATTCTTGTGTTATTGTTATCTTATATTTATTTATCTTTATTTTATTCATTTTATCTTACATTTTTTTCTTCCCTTTCTTGTATGTATTCTCTTTTTGGCATTTTTGATATCAGAGATTGATTCATGTTAGCCGACCCCAAATTCTTTTGGAATTAAGGCTTGGATGTTGTTGTATATATATTCTTTGTATTCTTTGTATCTTATCATTTTTACGTATATCTTATGATCTTATCTCTATTTTATCTTGTCTTTTTTTTGTTATCTTTTTTATCATACTATATTTTTTTATCTTTCTTTTCCTTTTGGCTTCGATATCATGTATCGATACATTTTAGCTGATCCCAAAATATTTTGGGGTTAAGGCTTGGATGTTGTTATTATAGAATAGAATGGAACATACATTAAGAAGGAACGCAAACAAATCCTCAGAGTACACCAGCCCAACCGTTAGAAAGCAATGTTGAACTTCATTATAAGTCTGCACGCCCAAATAAATAAGAGTAAATTAGCTATCAATTAGAAAACTTTAGACAGTGACCATTTAATAGATAATACATCAAACATTCAGTGATTCATAAAAAACTTTTGCAATGCAGAAATGTAACAGCATGCTGCATCATTAGCTAGAACCGGGAGGAGTTTCCAAACTGTACTGTTGGATACACATTTAGAAGTTGCTTGCTCATTATATAGTAAGAACAAGCAAACAAGTACAAAGGTATGAGTTTTAGAGGATCAAACAAATGTCAACCTTCAGCCCCAATTGAAATTCTGAATGCTCTTTTCTATCATTATTGCTGCAAACCACTAGCAGAGAGGACAAAGTAACAATGAGGTCCTGCATGAAGAAAAGATAAAATCACATCCTTTAAAATAATATGCATTGCTCTAGCATGACAATTTTATAAAAAATAATCAGCAAATACAAATACAAAACCTTAGATCACATGACAAAAAACCTTAGATTACAGAAGCTTAGATCACATTATACAAAACCTTAGATTAGATTACAGAAGCGCAGGAGATATACTGATACTTCAGAATAGAGACACACACTCAATTGTGAAAAGTAACGGGAAAACTAACAAATAAGCCATCTTATTGTTTCCAAAATGGCAATTGGACCCGTTTATTAGAAACACCCAATTAAACATGAGAACTTATAAAACTCTTGAATCGTCTTTTTAGCAGGTTATCTCTAAGTTTCGAGGTAACCAAAACCAAATTACTATCAAACCAACACCTCATCGCTGCCACCTCATTCTTATCCTTACCAATTTGTTGTCTTCCTCTAAGAAATAAGAATTAAAGAGAAAAAGAAAGAAGAATAATCTTCTCTCTTCTTGTCCGTTCTTGCTTCAAGCCTTCAACTATAATCTTCTTCTTTATTTTCTTTTTCTTGGTTCAGTTGTATTATCTTTCTAAGTTCTCCTCTCTTCCCTCCTTTCTCTTTCTATTCAGATATTTGGGTTTGTTATGAATAGAGAGTTTTTGTTTCTTTGATTGGATTTTCAAATTTGTTTGAGCTTTCATAGGATTAGAATTTTTGGGATTGGAATTGAAGATTTTTTTAATAGATACTCTAGGATATATTAGAAATATATTAGAATGATTGTAGGAATATGCTTTGGAATATTTAGCAATATACTCTAGGATATTATTATGCTACTAGCTATGTTCGCACATTGTGCGAAGGGTATGTGCCCAATTCTTCACTTTTTCATATTCAATACTACCCGTATATGAAAAAGTTTGCCTAGCTTGAAAGTTCTAATTTTTATTAAATAATACTACCTGGAGTAATAATATTAAGATTTCACAAATTCTCTAGAATTCATACAAATTGAATACTCCGTAGTATATAAATTATTACTCCAAAAACAAACCAATCAAAAAGAAGAATCTTACTATTGACCACCTGAAATTCAGTATGATTTTACCCGAATCACCCAAATTAAAGAAAACTCTTCAATGAATCGAACCCAAAAATTACTCACCAAGAGAAATATGAGTGAGAATCACAAAGAATTCAAAGAAAAAATAGCCCAAAAATATTGAGGTTAACCCTAGAAGAATATAGATCAACAATACCAGAACTTGGATAAGATGATTTTTAATGCAACAAGACAATAGTATTTGCGGAAATGAAAAGACTCAATCCAATTGGAGGAGATGTACTGATGTACAGAGTATACTTTCGCTTCTTTTGTGAAGGTGATGCTGAGGAGATAAAAGTAAGCTTTGTATGGGCTTCAAACGGGAAAGAAATTTGGGGAAGAAAAAATGAATACAACGGACGTGAGAAATAGGGATGACGGAACCTTGTTTGACGGAAAAGTGGCGGATTTTTTTGGACGTCGTTTAAGTGAGGCTTTATATATGTAGGAGATAGAATGTTCTATCTCCTACTACGTAATATATATTTATAGGGACTTCAACCCTTCAATAGAGATACAGAAAATCCTTCCCTCTATCTCCAATATTATTCTAGTTTGTATTTCGACACGGTATCAGAGCCTTAGAAAAAATCAGATAATCAATTAGCAATCAGCTTTTCTGACAATCAGTTAACATTTTTACTGTTTGCGGCAAACCTTAGATATCTTTCAGGCCACGGTTTACATCACCACCATACCCAGGTGGTGCGACTACCACCGACGACCCGGAAGCTAGAGTCTAGGAAGCACGGAAACGCCGGGCAGGGGGGTGTTTCCGTCCCGGAAACGTTTCGGAAACGCGAAACGCCCGGAAACGGCCGGAAACTCCGAGGAAACGCGCGGAAACGTTTCTGAGAGGTTGGGCTGTTGCGCCGGTTTAGGAAACGTTTCGGAAACGTGGCTGGGCTTGGGCAAACGCGTTTCCGCAGAAAGTAAAAAAAAAACGGGCTTCAATCGACAATCGCTTACCTCTACGCGCACGAAGACCTGACGACTGCGTCGAAGAAGGGTTATCTGCGTCTGCGAAAGGGAAGAGCGGAAGACTGCGAACGAGAGTCAAGGAGTGTTGTGCCGCTGTTGTGCTGCGCCGCCGCTGGTTCGCTATTCACAGGACCGGACAGGACGAAAGAACCGAAGAAGAAAAGGGTTTGGTACGTTGGTTCTCTTCAATTTCAATTGCTTCCCAGTTCTAGACTTCTACTCTTCTAGTAAGTACCGACCCTTTATTTGGAGGAGACGAGTTCGGCAATTTGGAAGAAATGGACTATTTGGAGTTTGCTAATTTAACCTTAGATGAGCCGGAATTGGAGAGAGTGTTTATCACTGAATGAAACATTTACGTGGTGCTTTTTAAATTTTATTTATTATGCTTGTAGAATGGATTATAACAAGGATGTATGTTTTGTTTAATTATTTTCTGGGTTGTTAGACATATGCATTACTTATATTACTAAAAAAAATAATTTCTAGTTTGACGTTTCCTTGCCGTACCCGTTTCCTAATATTTTGAGTTTAGCGTTTCCCCGTCCCCGTTTCCGTCCCCGTTTCCGTTTCCGTTTCCGTCCCGGTGCTACTTAGGCTAGAGTCCCACACCCAAAATCGACGCGAGTGAGCCACACGCGCTGCAACAGTTCGGCGACCTCAACTCACGTGCCGGTGTGTGACGTGTAATTGCCAGCCAGATTTCCGATCAAAAACCACCCATCCGTTCGCCTGTTTATGGCCTATCTTCTAGGGTCGCTCGTTTTGTCCTGGTAAGAATTAGTTCCTGCCTCCATAGCCTTGTTGCGTAAAAGTCAACGCTAACTGGCGAGGACCACACCCGGTTGCGTAAAAAGCTTTGTCACAATCTTCCATCATATCATTAAGGGAGGAGAATATTTGTTTCATTGCCTTAACCGGAGCAATAGTTCGACGTTGTGACTTCCTCTAGTAACGGTGGATATCTGTCAGTTTGACTCAAAATCTAGTGAGACAAATTGTTATCCTTACTATGACTTTTTACTAATTACGGTAGACGTGGAGAATACGGAAGTCCAAGTAAATTGAGGTTACCTTCCTTTCCTTTATTATCCTGCTTTATTTCAAAAAAAAATCAAAAAAAATGTCTTGTACAGATCAATTTGACAGAGGAGTAATATGCAATTTGTAGAAAAATGTAGCATATACATGTTATTTTATTATGTGTACATCTGGAACTGTATAGATAGGAATTAGAGTTGATTTAGGGCTCTAACTCTTAGATTAGCTCGCAGTGTAGATAAGAATAGATAGATCCTAATATTTAGGATCTGTAACAAACCTTAGTTTATCTGTAATCTTGTATATATATCATTGCCGGATGGCTCAATAATACAAGGAAGATTAATTCTTCAAAACTACATGGTATCAGAGCATCGGTTTAAACAATGGTAGAAACCAGTGAGGCTGATTCCTCACACACTATCAACCCTAACTCCCAAATTAGCTCTATGACAAATTACCAGTCTCCTATTCATTCATCTATGATAATCACTAGTCATAGATTGAATGGAACAAACTATCTGGAGTGGTCTCAATCTGTCAGACTTGCAATTGATGGGAGGGGAAAACTGGGTTACATCACAGGAGAAATCCAACCAAAACTACCTGCAGAAGAAGGGTACAGTACATGGAGGTCAGAGAATTCACTCATAACAGCTTGGCTTCTCAACTCCATGGAGCCCTTAATTGCCAAACCTCATATGTTTATGAAAACTGCAAAGGAGGTATGGGATTCTATTCAGGAAACTTATTCAGATCTTGAGAACTCTTCTCAAATTTTTGAACTCAAAACCAAACTGTGGCAATCTAAACAAGGAAATAAGGATATTATTTCATACTACAATGAAATGGTATCTCTGTGGCAAGAATTAGATCAATGCTATGATGATGAAGAGTGGGAGAGTGCTAAGGATCTGGCCAGACATAAGAAAAAAGGAGAGAATGATAGGGTCTATATGTTTCTAGCAGGGATCAATAGGGACCTGGATGAAGTTAAAGGGAGGATACTTGGAAAAAAACCTCTACCCTCTATCAGGGAGGTATTTTCTGAAATCAGGATGGAGGATAGCAGGAGGAAGGTCATGTACAACACCCCAGTACCTAATGAGGAACCTGGGGAATCTTCAGCTTTGGTGGCCAGAAGTGATGACAACAAGAAAAAACCTTGGTGTGATCACTGCAAGAAACTGTGGCACACAAGGGATACATGCTGGAAACTCCATGGAAAACCACCAGGAGCTGGGAAGAAGAAAGTAGAAAGGGCCCTACAAACTACTGTGACTGAGACTCAACAAGAGGCAGGAGTTGAACCTAAACAGCTACCATTCACTCAGGAACGGATAGAGTACCTACTCAAATTCATACCCACCCAGAAAATCTCCAACCAAGAAAACCCTACCTGTTCTTTTGCCCAAAATGGTAAAATAACATCATATTTTTGTTCTGAAAAACCTAAAAACACATGGGTCATTGACTCAGGTGCAACAGACCACATGACCTACATTCCAAAGTTTTTTTCTTCTTATCAACCTTGTGCAGGAGATAAGAAAGTTAGAGTTGCAGATGGCTCTTTTTCAGCCATAGCAGGGATGGGAAATATTAAAATTTCCTCATCCATTAACCTTTCCAAAGTCTTACATGTTCCTAAACTTTCCTGCAATCTTATCTCTATTAGCAAAATTACTAAAGATCTTCGGTGTTGTGTAAAATTTTTTCCCTCTTATTGCATTTTTCAGGATCTGGCATCAGGGAAGATGATTGGCAGTGCTAGAGAGGAGGATTGCCTCTATACTTTTGATGAAGGAACAAAATTGAATAAACAAGGTCAAGAAAAAACTTGTTTGCAAACTGTTTTCTTTCCTTGTAATAATGAAGTGTA